CCACCAGGGAAGCCCCCCATTTTATCTCTGAAAGCAGTACTAGTGATAGATGGATGAACACTAAAATAGAAATAGTGTAAAAAATTGAAAGTGAGGAAATTATACATATTAAATATATGTCTGGACAATAAGGATGATTACGAAGGACAGTCCCAGGATGTGTGAAAAAAGATGTGCCTGTGCAGTTGAGAGTCAGCCAAAGGTGAAGAAATATGCATGTCTGAAATGGTTTCAGCAGAGGATCATCTCTAAAATGGGATGCCTATTTAGTCAAAGGTTTGAAATTCAGGTTAAAGTTGTAGTTCAAGAACTTAAAGGCTGAGCATGGTGAGTGAAAGTGGTGCTGTGGAAACTTATCAAAAGCCACAGACGCATCATGGGTTCAAGGCCTTTTCTAATCTGCAGGTGAAACTCTGGTGTGGATTCCTTAGCTGTCAGAGGTTGCCTCCCTTATGTTGGTGGAGATTGTGGCAGGGAGGGGTTGCCTGCCTCAGTAAATGTTCATTGTAAACAAAACAGGACACTTATTTTTTTTAATGCCAAAAACATGCCAGCTCGGAGGAAATACGGACACCATAAACCTAAATTTCACTCATGGTTTTGGACTTGTAGACTAACGGATTTCTTTTAGACTAACGGCTTTAACAGCCTTTTGGAATTTGTCCTGCTTGTAAGTAGGGCTGCCTCCATGTAGTTTATATTCTGAAAACTCTACTGGTCATTAAATTGAATGATACAAAAAAAGAGGGATCAAGTATTTGCTAGGACCAAATAGCCCCTCAGGGTGAACTTTACAGTTGCTGATAGAGTAACTGTTTCGGAATGTAGTGTACTGTGGCTCACCCATGAAGCTGGCCTTGGTGTTGGTGTGTGGGCTCTGCCTTTGTAAGATCTGCTTCTCACTATCCAGGTTGGATTTCGGGGGTGACACCCCCTGCCACCCTTTTTTTCAGCTTTTAGCACTGAAGCCATTGTATAGTCTTCTTTTTTTTGTGGTTCAATATCTGATTTTAAAATTATTGTGTATTTTTTGTAAATTTTATCTTTGATGTAGCCAGATATATTAAAAATTAGTGAGTCTCTGTCTTTGTTGAAAATCTATGATTTAATATAGGAAACATGGTCCATTTATTTTATGTTTTAAATTATACAGTTTATCTTTTGTCTGGATGAAGGTTGACACTGTCTACAAGAGCTGCTGCTGGAGTTGGTGATTGGCACTGTTCCCGCTTCTGCATTCAGATGAGCAGCCAACATGTATTTTAAATTAATCCCCAAAGTATTATTTGTACAATAAAAATTTTAAATATATTTTTCCAATTTAAATGTTTGTCACATCATTATATTTACTGTATTTCTAGGCTCTGCACTCTTGTCAAAGTGAAGTGTCCTGAATTGTTTTAGCCTTTTCTATAAGTCTGTTTTGGCCAGAGTATCCCGTTTTAAGGAAGTAGCAAGATTTTTTTAAGGCACGGGGCCTATATTTAGGCCCTCACTGTTGACCATTTTAGTTTCCATGGCTAGGCTAACTAAGTCATCAGCATGTTGTATTCTGCCAGCAAGGTTTATATCAATGACATGTTTTGTTTGTTCTTTTTAAGTCTCATTCTTATTAAAATAAGTCACTTAGCTGGTTTACTTTATTTTTTCCTAAATGTGCAAGAATTACAAAGGCTGGCTTCTTGTTAAATAACGCATGCTTGGTTGACTGTTTTATTAAAAAAAGCCGTGAAGTTGTTCCTAAAAAGAGTGAATAAAGATCCAGCATAGCAAGTAGATGATACTCAAGGAGTTACTAAGAATAAGTGTGTACAAACTAGGAAATGCACTGAATATGTGTTGCTTGTGCTTGCCAAAGTTTAGTTTCTACTACATTTAGAACTCTGACTCTGCAAGCTTTCAGTTTGTTCATGAATCACAGAGGTAGAAAGAAAATGATTAAGGGCACAAAACTAACATCACTCATCAGAGGGCAGGAAGTAAATGTGACTTCTTAGGTTGCAAGCAGATCGTATTAGCAGTCAACAGTAGGGTTTACAGTGTGCCCAAGTTTGTGTAAGGTACAATAATAATAATGATAATGATAAAATTGTACTATTTGGTGGTGGTAGAAATAATAATAACTAATATTTACGTAGTATTTACTGTATTCTAAGGTATTGTTCTAAGAGCTTTACATGTATTAACTCATGTAATTTCCCCAGTGACCATCTGAGGTAGGTGCTACTGTTATCCTCTCATAACTCACTTAATCCCCATAGTAACCCCATAAAGTAGACCATGTTATTAAGCCCATTTTACAAATGAAGAAACAAGGTTAAGTAACTTATTCAAGGTCATGCAACTAGTAGTAGAGCTGGAGTTCGGAATCCATGTTCTTAACCACTCTGGTAGGCTCAATAATGGCCTCCTCCCAACCTCACTGGATGGGGGTGGGCAAATCTTTACTGGTTTGATGCACTTTCGTTCCATTGCCCTTTCAGTGGTTAATTTGGGAATGGCAGTTTGGACAATAAGATAGCACATGGGGAAGAATTTAATTGCACACAGTAGACTGATCTTGGATGTGAAAATGAATTTTTGACAACTGGAATTAAAATCAAAGTACCTAAACAAATACTTTTGAGCTTTACTTCATGTTGCACTGGCTAGTACAGATTGCTATGTTGACAAACATGTTTCAAGAAAATAATTGTTTATATAAAATAGAATTTTAAAAATTTATAAAAATTTTCTGAATTCAAATATAGGAAAATTTTTATGTCAACATAAAATTATAAACTTTTCTGGGAAGGAATGTTGTTTATTATGTGTTTTTCCTTGTACATTTTTTTTTCATTTATGAAGTATAAAAACAGCAACCCTATGCCAATAACCACAGAAGTTTTTGAAATTTTACTTGTCCACGGAAATCCATGAAAGCCTGGATGTTGCAAATCTTGTTGTTTACTTACTAAACTCCATTCTTACCATCTTGCTTCCTGATCACTTACAGCCTGACTTTGGGCCTAATCTCTTTATTGAACTGGTTTCTAGAAGGTTACTGCTGATTTTATGGTCTCTGTATACCACCTTTTTTAAACCAAAGATCTTTTTTGACTTTTCTGTAATGTTTAATTCTGTTGCCCATTCTGTCTCTGAAATTCTCTTCCCTAGCAGTTGCTGACAGTGTGTCTCTGTGCTACCTCAGTGACCATTTTCAGTCTCCTTTAGTGCTTCTATTTTGGTCTTTTCTATTTCTTGGTGGTGACTCTTGTAAAAAAAACACATCATGTTTATAATGCCTGTAAATAGTAGGCATGAAAATGAATTAGCCATAAATAGAAGCTGCATGTTGCTAAGTAGACACTATTTAGTAGAGACTGTCTTTTGATATAAAGCTAAGTTTATAATTAATATTGAAGTTTTTTTGATTGCAACAATTGGGTTTTTTTAAATACACACATATATATACACACATTATATTCCTTTGTATATACCATTATTAAACTACTTCTTTATGGATATCTTGATTCCAGTTGTGTACGTATGCTTTAAAAAAAGAAAATACTGTATGGGCATCCTTATGCCTGCATCTTGGCGTACTCTGTGAGTATCTCCATCATATAAATTCCTAATGGTAGAATTGTTAAATTATGGTGTATATGCATTGAAAACTTTGGTAGGCATTGACAAATAGCCTTTCTAAAAGCTTGTATCAATTTGCACTTTTATCAACAGTATAAGTACCGATTTCTCCGTACGCCTCCAACAATGAATATAATAAAACTTAATGTTTGCTGATCTAATGGATGAAAAATATTTTCTTTACATTTTTATTTATTTTAATTATAAGTGAGGTTGAGCACCTTTTATATCAGTGGTTTTCAACTGGGGGCAACTTTGCCCCCCCAGGGGACATTTGATACTGTCTGGAAACATTTGGGGGCTGTTAAAACTAGGAGAGGGTCTGGGAAGAGGGATCTACTGGCATGCTGCCAAACATCTTACAATGCACACAACAAAGTATTATTTTCCAGACCCAAATATCAGTAGTGCCAGGGTTGAGAAACCCCGTTTTATATTCTTCCGTTTCATCTTCTTTGTTGGTTTATATCTGTAATTTCTGAGTTATTTTATTGTTTGCTTTAGAGTTTATAGTATACATTTTTAATTTATCACAGTTCCCCTTTGAGTGATATTTTACTATTTCATGTATGGTATAAACACCTTGCTATAGTATATTTCCATTTTTCTCCTCCTGGCCTTTGTGCTGTTGTTTTAATATGTTTTACTTCTGCGTACGTTATAGACCCCACAATATATTATTATTATTTTACTTTAAACAGTAGATTATCTTTAAATTTTTAAAACAGCTTTAATGAATTATAATTTACATTAGATTGCACATATTTCAAATATACAATTTGATAAGTTTTGACATATGTATATACTTGTGAAACCATTGTCACAATCAAAATAATGAACATATTTATCATCCCCCAAACTTTCCTCCTGCCCCTTGGTCATCCCTCCCCAACCCCAGGCAACCACTGATCTGCTTTCTGTCACTATAGATAAGTTTACATTTTCTAGAATTTTATATAAATGGAATCATAAACTATGTGATTTTTTTGTCTGACCCTTTCATCCAGTATATTATATCTAGATTTATCAATGTGGTGTGTGTATCATTAGGAAAACATTCTTTTTTTTTTTTTTTTTTTTGGCGTTACGCGGGCCTCTCACTGTTGTGGCCTCTCCCGTTGCGGAGCACAGGCTCCGGACGTGCAGGCTCAGCGGCCATGGCTCACGGGCCCAGCCGCTCCGCGGCATGTGGGATCTTCCCAGACCGGGGCACGAAGCCGTGTCCCCTGCATCGGCAGGTGGACTCTCAACCACTGCGCCACCAGGGAAGCCCTAGGAAGACATTCTTAATGACAGACGTTCTGGGTAATTGGACTGCTGTTATTAATGAGCATGCTGAATTCTAAAGTCACTTGATGTGTTCTTTGTTTTAGGTCATGACCATCCAAGGAGTGATAATCACATGAGAGCGCTCATTGCTCCAGATGTCATTTGACCATCAAAACAAAAAAATCTGTTTAAAAGAAAATATCCATTTGACCAGAACCTTTCTTTATTGAATGGCTTGATGGATTTCCTTTACTCTGATTCAAACCAAAGCTGTCCTGCTCAAAAACAAGAAAGGATCTTGCATGAGTCAATCCCAGAATGCCACTTCTACATCACCGACGGGTGAAGAAAACCTCATGAATATCAATCACAGAGACTCAGAGAGCATCACTGGTGAGTCCAGTTTAATAAATGAAGTGCTGTTGCTTACAGGATAAAATAGTGCTGTTGCTTACAGACCCACCATGATGGAACTCAGCCTCTCTTTCCAGCCTGGTCTCCTCAGAGACCACTGAATTAATCTCTCCATCCCCAGGTCTCCTATGGCATTATCAAAATCTGCCTTGGGTGCTGTTCCTTGTCTGCATCTGACTCCCTGTACCGTGTGAGCCCTGGTCAGTAGGAACTGCGTCATACTTATCTCCCTTATCTTGTCTTCCTATTCCTATCTGCCTGTCTCCGCAAGAACAGGGTTGCTTGTGTTTCTGTGCCCTGCAGTCACCTAATAACAACAGTATCTGGCACATAAGAGGCTCTCAGGACATATAGGGTATGCAAAAACAGGTACAGCCCCATAAGTCCTTATCTGCAAGACTAAATTTTAAAAACTCTGTACACCCAAAATTTTTTCTAAACTTTCGTTCTAAAACTCACTGGTCCACAAAACCTGACCTGTCCAGTTGTTTCTAGACATCTCACTTAGTTGGAATACTTGTTTAATGAAATTGTATTAATGTGTTTAAATATGGGATACTGCTACAAAACCAGTTGGAGGTCTTATATAACATACAGTATGCACAGTACTACTTTTCTAAAACTCCATAAAATTCTGCAACCCATCTAAACCTAAAGTTTTTCCCATTTTTTGTTCAGCTTTATTGAGATACCTGCATTAAGATACTATAAAATGCACCCATTTTAAGTGTACAGTTTGGTTCAGTATGGCCTGTGGGCCATAGTTTGCTGACGTCTGCACAACAGCATCAACACTTGATAACGTCAGTGTTTTTGATTTTAACCATTCTAGTAGGTGTGTACTGGTACCTCTGTGTGGTTTCACTTTCTTTTTCCCTGATGACTAATGATGTTCAGTGTCTTTTCATGTGCTTGTTGGCTATTTCTAGATATTTTGAGTTGTCTATTTAAATCATTTGCCCATTTTTATATCTGTCTTACTACTGAATTGTAGTAAATATTCTTTTTATATTCTGTGTAAATCCTTTGTTAGGTAAAGGGGTGCAAATATTTTCTCCCAGACCATGGCTCGCCTTTTCATCTTCTTAATGGTGTCTTTTGAAGACCAAAAGTTTAAAATTTTGGTGGAGCCCAGTTTATCAATTTTTGCTTTTATAGTTCATATTTTTTGTGTCATTTCTAAGAAATCTTTGCATACTTCAAGATCACAAAGACATTCTCCTTTGTTTTCTTTGAAGAGTTTTATAATTTTTGCTTTTACATTTAGTTCAATTTTATAATTAATTTTGAATATATAATGAAGTTAGGGTCCAGATTTCTTTTTCCCAGTTGAATGTTTAATTGTTCCTGCACCATTTGTTGAAAATATTATCTTTTACACTATTGAATTACCTTGGTAATTTCATTGAAAAATCATTTGATTATGTATGTGTGGATCTATTCCTGGACTCTCCATTCTGTTTCTTTAATCCCTAAGTCTATCTTTACATAAATACCACAGTGTTTTGATTACTGTAACTCTGTAGTAAATCTTGAAATCAGGTAGTATAATTTCTTGAAGTTTGCTCTTCTTTTTAAAAAATTATTTTGGCCATTCTAGACCTTTCACATTTCTATATAAATTTTAAAACCAGCTTGTCAATTTCTGCCAACAAAGATTAATGGAATTTTGAATGGAATCATATAGACTTTGTAGAGAATTGACATCTTAAGACTATTGAGTCTTCTAATCCGTGAACATGATATATCTCTCCATTTATTTAGGTCTTCTTTAATTTCTCTTAATAGTATTTGTAGTTTTTATTACACAGGTCTTCCACATATTTTATTAAATTTAATCCTAAATTTTTAATTTTTTTCTGCTACTATAAATGACATTGTTTATTTAATTTTATTTTCCAGCTGTTTATTACTAGTATGTAGAAATGAAATTGATTCTTTATATATTGACTTTGTATTCTGCAACTTTGCTTAACTTAGTTTTATTAACTTTCTTGTAGATTCCTTAGCATTCGCTACATAAACCATAATGTCTGCAAATGGAGACAGTTTTACATATTCCTTTTCAATCTAGATGTGTTTTATTTCTTTTTCTTGCCCTTTGAATGGGACAGGATTTCAGTATATTTTTGAATAAAAGTGGTGGGAGCAAACATCCTTGCCAAATTTCCAATATTAGGAGAGAAGTTACGGTCTTTCACCAGAAGTTTTTTGAGAATGCCCTTTTTCAAATTGAGAAAGTGTCCTTCTCTTCCTAGTTGGATGACAGGTTTTTGTCATGAATGGGTATTGAATTTTGTCAAATACCTATTTTCCATTACTGAGATGGTTTTTCTTTTTTAGTCCATTGGTGTGGTGAATTCTATTGATCTATTTTTTAATTTTAAACCAGCTTTGCATTCCTGTGGAAGACTCTACTTGGTCATGATATATTATCATTCTTATATATTGTGGATTTGATTTACTAATGTTGTGTGTGTGTGTGTGTGTGTGTGTGTGTGTGTTTCCCATTCATTGGTTTGTACTCCTTTTTTTGCAATGTCTTTGCATGATTTTGGTATTAGGGCAATGCTGGCCTCATAAAATGAGTTGTGAAGTATTCCCTTCTCTATATTTGAAAGAGTTTTTTGTAGAATTGGTATGGTAACATTTTCCATCCTTTTACTTTTAACTTATCTGAATATTCAAGGGACATCTCCTATAGATAGTTTAAAGTCAGATCTTTTTTTCATCTAGTCTGACAATCTCTACTTTCTAATTGGTATGTTTAGACCATTTACATTTAATATAATTATCAGTTTAGTTGAGTCTACTGAACTCCTACTTGTTTTCTCTTTGTTCCATTTAAAAGTTCTTTCTTCCTTTTTTCCCCTCATTCCTTTCCTCTTTTGAGTTGTTCGTTTGCTGGTTTGTTTTTTGTAGGATTCCATTTTAATTCCACTATTGACCTAAGTAGCTATACCTCTCTTTTTTCTCAGTAGTTGCTCTGAGTTTGCAATATGCATTTTTAAATTTATCACAGTCTATCTTCAGATAACATTATACTATTCCATAAAGTGACACACAGTATTCTTCCATTTCCCCCTGCCATTGTATTATTCTTGCCATGCCTTTTATATTTACATATGTTTACATAATTATTTTTGCTTTAAACAATTATAAGTTAAATACATTATGAGAATAAAAGGCTTATATATTTCCACACAGATTTACCATTTCTGTCACTCTTTATTTCTTTTTGTAGATTGAACTTTCCATCTTATATCCCTTTTGCCTGAAGAACTTCAACATTTCTTGGAATATAGGTCAGCTGGCAATACTAGTCAAAGTCTTTTGCTTGTCTGAAAAGTCTTTATTTCACCATTTTTAAAAGGTGTTTTCACTGGTGCAGAATTCTAAGTTGACTTTTTTATACACTTTAATGACATTCCATTGTCATCTACCTTGCACTGCTTCTGATGAGATCATTTTTGTCTTTGTTCCCTCAAATGTAATGTGTCTTTTTTTCTCTCTCTGCTTTTAAGATTTTCTCTTTGGGTTTCTTTGTGTTTATCCTGCTTAGAGTCACTGAACTTCATTGAAATATGGATTTATAGTTTTGATTAAATTTGGAAGATTTTGACGGTTATTTCTTCAAATATCCTTGCTGCTCCCTCTTCTCTCCTCTTCTGTGACTCCAGTTGCATGTGTGTTAGACTGATTGTTTTTGTGATGCAAGTCACTGATGCTCTGGTTTTTTTCCTAATCTTTTTTCACTTTCGTTTCCATTGCTATGCCTTCAAGTCTACTGTTCTTTTCTTCTGGATAGTATCTAATATGTTAATGTTATCCAGTGAATTTTTAAATTTAGATATTGTACTCTAGTTCTATTTGAATTTTATAAATATAGGAATACGTTCTGTTTCTCTTTTCATCAAATTCATGTTTTCCTTTTAAATCTTTGAGCATATTAATAATGGCTATTTCGAAATTGCTGTTTACCACGTTTATCATCTTTGTCTTTACTCGGCTTGTTTCTATTGGTTTATTTTCCAACTGGTAATGGGTTACGAATTGCTTATTCTTTGAATATCTAGTAATTTTTTATCAAATGCTGAATATTTTGAATGTTATGTTGTTTGATGTTTGAATTTTCTTGTCTTATTTGAAAAACTGTTATTATTTTGGCAGGTCCTCAAGTTACTTGCTGATAATATAAGTTCTTTTTTTTTTTTTTTTTTTGTGGTACGCGGGCCTCTCACTGTTGTAGCCTCTCCCATTGCGGAGCACAGGCTCCGGATGCGCAGGCTCAGCGGCCATGACTCATGGGCCCAGCCGCTCTGTGGCATGTGGGATCCTCCCGGACCGGGGCACAAACCCGTGTCCCCTGCATCGGCAGGAGGACTCTCAACCACTGCGCCACCAGGGAGGCCCGATATCGGTTCTTTTGAGGCTTGTTTTTAATCTTTGCTATCTAAGTCTCTATATCACAAGACCATACTCTAGTATGCCTTATTCTGCATTAATTTAACCCTACTACCAGTAGGCATGACACTTCTAGGATCTTTTGATTGTCCTAACTGTTCATGAGGTTTTTCTACTTTGGCTAGATGAAATTCAGGCCTTTCTTCGCTTTGTGTAGGAGAGTAACTTAATAAAGATATGAAGATGTAGAGGAAAATATGAGTGGAATGAGGACAGACCACTTTTGAGGCCATATTCAAGAGAAACAAGAGGAGGCCTTGAACCTAAAGGCAGGCAATGTGGCTAGAAAGAAGTGAGCATAAGGAAGGGACATTTGGAGGATAAAAATATTAAGACTGGACAATCAGGAAAGCAATAAATAGTACATTATCAAAAATATGTGGGCTTCCCTGGTGGCGCAGTGGTTGAGAATCTGCCTGCTAATGCAGGGGACACGGGTTCGAGCCCTGGTCTGGGAGGATCCCACATGGCGCGGAGCAACTAGGCCCGTGAGCCACAACTACTGAGCCTGCGCGTCTGGAGCCTGTGCTCCGCAACAAGAGAGGCCACGATAGTGAGAGGCCCATGCACCGCGATGAAGAGTGGCCCCCGCTTGCCACAACTAGAGAAAGCCCTCACACAGAAACGAAGACCCAACACAGCAAAAATAAATTAAGTAATTAATAAACTCCTACCCCCAACATCTTCTTTTGAAATATATATATGTATATATATATATATATATATGTATATATGGGAGCAAATAGGATTTGCTCCTAAGGATGTTATTTGAATCTACTAAACCTTGATTGTGTACTCACTTTTAAAATTATTTTTTTTGAAGTAGGGAATTGGTAATCTTGAATTTTCACAGATTTTTATTATTACTTATTAAAAGAAAATTTCTAGGGAATAGTAGTTCTTTTAAATGAATGTTACTTTTTTCTTCATTTTCATTATACCCTTGAATGCCTAAGAGTCTGTTTTTAGCTCTGCATGTATTTATAGTCAACTTCTCTTCCTGCAGATTTATAATGACAATCTGTATGTGATATATTTGTGGCAGGAAAAATTTGAATAGTCGCATAGAATTCATAGTAATACTATTTGGATGTATTTTCAGAGCTCTTATTTAAGAGATCTGCTAAGGGTTGAGAGGAGCTTCTTTAGATCCATATTTAACGTTTTAAATGTACCTCATCTCTGTGATTATATACCTCATCTTTGTGGTTATGAAGCCACTGCTTGTCCTTCTGGGTGAATAGGATTGTCTGGTATTGCCAGTCTCCTTGTACTTGATTTGATTAATGTCAGCCTCCTCATTGTTAAGATCAAGTAGTTGAAATTTACTCTTTTAAGGTATGTTTTCTTAAAATGAACTTTGTTGTTCTTTGCCAGAGTTAGAACATGTTTCTTTATGCCACCCCCAAAGGAAATACCAGATCTCTTTTAAAAATGAGAGGGTTGATATGACATCCTGTATTTTCTCTATTTTAAGCTGTAGTATTTTAAGCATATTAAAAGAGATAACTTTTTTTTTTTTATTGTAAACTGCTAAATTTGGGAGGTGTTAAATGATGGGCAGCATTTGGAATAAGAAGCCAGGAGCAAACACATGAAGGTGGAAAAGTCCAAGAGTGTTCAGAGAAGTATAAGCAGGGGGAGTTAGAGGTGTGCAAGTGAGCGAGTAGTGATGTGAAAGGTATTCAAGACTTTAAATGTATCACATTTTCAGTAAGTTAATTTTTTTATATCTAGCTTCTGTGAGAATGTAGTAAAATGTAATTTTTCCAGATTTTGAAGAATCCTACCACAGAGTTCAATTCTGTTATTAAAGAACATGTAATTTTATTCCTTTTGAACTCCTTTTCTTCTGATTGTTTTGTGTTGCCTTTTTTCCCCGAAGCATATGTTATTTGAGATCAGATCTCTTGTAAGCAGCACTAAATATATTGATAAGGAAGAAATAAGAAATTTTAAACTTTAAAAACAAGTGTATTCCCTAAGCAATATATTTTTAGATAGGATACAGTTAAAATTCATGGTAGTATTTTTACTGTAGAAGTTCTCGTATTAAAGAAACCTAGAGAAAGGCCAACTGTAGTACCAGGATACAGTAATAAAAATCATCGGAGACATGGTATTGGCTAATGTTGCTTTGATTATCCTACTTTGACAAAACTAATTTCACCGATTTTTCTCTGTAGCCTAGAAAATTGAAATATATTGGATTCATTTACATGGAATCTCCTCTTTAGATGTGTGCTCCAATGAAGATCTCCCTGAAGTCGAGCTGGTGAGCCTGTTAGAAGAACAGCTACCCCAGTATAAGCTAAGAGTGGACTCTCTCTTTCTATATGAAAATCAAGACTGGACTCAGTCCCCACGCCAGCAGCGACATGGATCTGATGCCCTCTCTCCAGTCCTTGCTGAAGAGACTTTCCGTTATATGAGTGAGTATTTTAGAGTTTGTCCATTGAACTAAAGATCATGAATATCTTGGTGTTGACTTTTAAAACATTTGACATCCCTAGCCATTGTTCAGTTTGTACCTACTTTAACTTGAACTGATTTAACAACATGAAGAGATGATTCTAATTGTGTTATGTCTGAATGCAGAAAGTTTATCATTCTTAAGACTCTGAGTGTCCAGGGTTGCAAGCATACTCAGAGGTTTCCATTTCTCTAATCTTTTACTCGATACTTTCCTCCAACTGTGGAGAAAAGGGAACTTAAAAAAAAAAAAAAAAAGTAGTGAAAGTATTTAAAATTTAATATCCCTTTATATTTCACAGCATTTATTATCCTAATACTTTAACATCTTGAGCCATCAGCTTTTTGACTCTAATCTACCCTACTAAACTGACATAGTCACGGGAACTTGTCAAGTCATTAAGAAACGGAGTTCTTGGATACATAAGTAGCTTTAATAATGCCGAGGAGAAATACGTGCACACTATATAGTAATCTTCATCATTTACTTAAGGATTCAGAGAATATTTCAGTGAGAAAGTAAGCCAAATTTGTCCTGAAAATAAGTCTGTTTTACACCACACTCTTTAAAAATGACAAAATTAAATAGGACACTTTTTTTTTATTTTTTGCGGTACGCGGGCCTCTCACTGTTGTGGCCTCTCCCGTTGCGGAGCGCAGGCTCAGCAGCCATGGCTCACGGGCCCAGGCGTTCCGCGGCATGTGGGATCTTCCTGGACTGAGGCATGAACCCGTGTCCCCTGCATCGGCAGGCGGACTCTCAGCCACTACGCCACCAGGGAAGCCCCAGTAATCATTAACTTTTGATGGTACTTTCCTATAACCAGATTACTTACTGCTCAGAAAAAGAATTGTAAACATTGTTTAAACTTGAATTAGGAACTCAAATAGAACTGTATTTCTGTCCTCAACAATTCTTTTAATTAGCTGAATATTAAATTAAGGCCCTTAAGGTTTTCTTAACTTCATAGTTTGAGAAGTTACTTGCTTGAGATTTTCTAGAAAATGCTTTTTAAAAGGAACACTATTTTATTTCCATTTCCCTTTGTTCCCTGAGTTTTTAGATTTGTGAAAAAATTTCAAACTGAAATTTCATTGGGATAAATTTAGTTTGTCATTATTCTGATAAAGTGGCATAGAAAGTGCCCCTTAGTTTACATGTTCTTTGTCCTATATGCTGCTGGAGGGGACAGTGAGGGAGACTAGCTAGAAAGATGTCTTAGATCATGATTTAATGGAGTTACCTTTAGGATGAATTTTAAGTAAAAAGACTGGGAAATAAAAGGTAAACAGATTCTAAACTACTTGGTTTATAGGACTTTACATAAACAAACCATAGTGTTCAAGGGAGCAATTTAAAACTTGAGATTAATAGGATGTTCCAAGATCCATACTTCCAAGATCTGGAAAAGTGTCCTATTCCTTTCATCTAATGGTACTATTTTCACTTCAACAATTTGAAAATTAAACTACATATGATACACCTAATATCATGAAGCATAGAAGCTAGGCCCATCATCCGTTCACTGATACTTTATCTCTGTACTGTACTTTAATTTCACTGTTATTTTAAAGGTATCAATTCTTTGGGTTAACAGTTCACTCAAATATAAATAAACTTCATTATGAATTTCTATCTTATGAATGTAAAAGATAAGTGATTTACTTTGTTTAGCAAATGGACCAAGATTTTAAAATCATGGGGACTTCTCTGGTGGCACAGTGGTTAAGACTCCTCCTGCCAATGCAGGGGACAAGGGTTCGATCCCTGGTCCAGGAAGATCCCACATGCCATGGAGCAACTAAGCCCGTGCACCACAACTACTGAGCCCTCGTGCTGCAACTACTGAAGCCCGTGCACCTAGAGCCCGTGCTCTGCAACAAGAGAAGCCACCTCAATGAGGAGCCTGCACACCGCAACGAGGAGTAGCCCCCGCTCACCACAACTAGAGAAAGCCTGCGCACAGCAATGAAGATCCAACGCAGCCAAAAATAAATTTTTTAATTTTTTAAAAAAAAGAACTTAAAAGGCATGATACAAACCATTCTCTTACCCTTTTCCACAGTTTTCTGTCCCCTTGAGATGTCAAGATTTGTGGTTTAGAATAGTTACTACAGACCCTGGCAAGCCATCCTAGGGTTCAGCTCCCTGGTGCTGTTTCAGCCCCTTCTTATCCTGACTTACCTCACATGCCAGTAGATACTCATGCTCATTAAAATGAATTATAGCAGCTAATAAAAAGAGGCAGCACAGGCAGAGGCACTTTCTCTCTTATATAACACAAAGAAATTGAAAGAGCCATGAGAAGAAAATAAAGAAATTTGGAAGGAAACATGGGCAAGGTTTTGGGATGGGAACCTATCTCACATGAATAAAAGGACACTGGTTGTTCTTTGAAGCCCCTACCAAACCAGAACGAGATTGCTCTCAAGTGTTTTATTTTAAAAGTAAACAATGGGTGGGTCCAAAAAAGTAATTCTCTCCTAGTCCCTGCCTTACACAAAGTTTAAGATACTCAAAGAATGTTTTGCGTGCAGGGTTTTCTTAATTTTATTAAGAGAGAGCCCCACAGTGACATGGGGCAAGCAGTGCGATCAGATCACACTGTGACAGAAAGTACCATTTATTTGTTCGTGTGAAGGCTAAAAATAGAAACCTGATCTGCCCTTCAGGGTATTTTTTATTTGGGAGTAAGGGATCACCTGTACCACTTCCTCATGCATAAGAAAAAAGGAGGTGGTTATATAAGTTGTAATTAAGGCATCATTAATTACAAGTACCAAGTGATATTATATGTCATTAACGATGTGTAATAATTACACATCGTTAATGACATATAATATCACTTGGTACTTGCTAAAAACACAGATCCTTGTGCTACCATCCCAGATCTACTGATTCAGAAACTCTGGGGGTGGGGCCCGTCTGTTTTAACAAGTCCTCCTGATGGTACTGGTGCACACTCAGATTTGAGAACCACTGATCTGAAGCTTTGTCACCAAAGCCATATGGCCATTTCACAGTGACATTAATTGGAGAATTTAAGGAATTAGGGAGGGTGTAGAATTTTGCAAAGAAATAGATTGTAGAAATTATTACTTCTGGTTGATAGTTATACTTTTCCTCAACTCTGCCCTTGAAAATCATTAACCTGTACTGGCAAGAAAGGAAATACAACAGATAATGTTCAGGAAGCATTAACCATAAGTCAAGTTGTAGAGGTTAGCGGATTCATAATTCCTCGCAACCAGTTCCACAGAAGAATTAAGCCATATGCCCTAAGACATTTATTGTAGAATGAATTACCTTACCACCTCTACATTATGTACTAGGTAGGTATTATTTGTCAGAGAATTGAGAACATTGTCACTCAAAGCATTATCTATGGGGCTTAATTCTCGCCTGGAACCCTGTTGAGAAAGGCTGTCCTAGACCGTATATACCACCAGCCTCCTTTTTGTTCTGCCTCAGTTCTTTTGAAGGCAGTTTTTTGTATTGCAGAAATGTTCTCTGTATTATAGTAGCAAGAACCACTTCTTTGGGGTTAAAACCTCAAGACCTGTCCGTAGTTATCAGGAGTTATTCTAGCTTTTACTCTGCCATGTGAAACTGTGTGTTTCGTTTTTGTTTTTTGTTGTCTTGCTTTTGTTTTTTGGTGTGGGAGGTTTGGAGAGTGATGAAAGATTAGAAGTCTTTTAAAAATTAGATAATTGGGGTAAAAACTCTAGACCTTGTAAAAGGACATATGAGAACTATTCAAGAACCATCTCATATAAATAACAGGATATCAAAATGGATTAACATTGGCATTTTCCATCCTGAAAATGATTGGGGGATGGTTGATGTGAAATTACGCAGATATAACATAGAGTAAGAATTAGTGAAGTGCTTATATATATCTCCCCATATTTTTTCAGGAATATTAGATTCTCCAAATATTAACCAAAAATGTTGAACATTAACTAACAACCTTCAGAAACCAAAAATGTTCTGTACAAATGTTTATTTTCTCCCTGATATATAATTTGTTCTTAGAGAGTTAGAAAGTTCATGTCTGGAAACAAACAAGGAGCACTGGTAATTTCTGTACCATTTAACATATTTTATTTTAACCTCTGAGAACTGAAGGAAAAATAGTATTTGATAGAATTATAATAAAGTCAGCCTGCTTGGCCCTGAATTCTTGGTTACAGAATTACAGTGAAGAATTAGTCTATCGCTTTGGAAGCATTTAATCACAATACTTAAATGCCAAGAGAATACTTAAGAGCTTTGCCCTGAGTACTTTTGGAATCATCCCAAGCAGCCTATCTTTATCAGGAGTATTGTGTTAGAGAAGAGAAGACAGAACTGATTAGGCTGCAGAGAGGAATCCTTTGTGTTACTCTATGCTTTGTGTTCCTCTATGAATTGAGCAACTCGGTGCAGTTGAGGTGGCCCAGCCTTTGGGGCTTGGTGGTCTATAGACTGTTTCACTTAAAACATAAGAATTGGAGAATTCTGGTTGCATTATCTAACTTCTTTGCCATAATAAATATTTAAGCATTTGAAAATTCATTTTTCCTTTTTGAAACCTCTTAACAAGAGCTGCTACTTTTTGATTGCAATGATAACATTTGTTCTTCATGGAAAATTAGCAAAAAACTGAACAGAAAACAACAGATCAACCATAACCCCTACTCAGAGATAACCACTATTAACATTTTGACTTATAGCCTTCCAGCGTCTCTTGTGTATAGACATGTATAGATATACTCACACGTTAAAAAGAAAAATGGGGCTCTCCTGGTGGCGCAGTGGTTGAGAGTCCGCCTGCCAATGCAAGGGACACGGGTTCATGCCCCGGTCCGGGAAGATCCCACATGCCACGGAGCAGCTAGGCCGGTGAGCCATGGCCGCTGAGCCTGCGCGTCCGGAGCCTGTGCTTCGCAATGGGAGAGGCCACAACAGTGAGAGGCTCGCGTACCGCAATAAATAAATAAATAAATAAAATGGTACGTATGTTGTTTTATAACTTGTGTTCACAGATAAATACTCTAATATTTCATCAGATAAAAGCCTTTTGATCTTGGTGGGACTGTGGTAGAAACAGCAACATGGTGCAAAGAGCCCATTTCCGACACTGAGAATGAGCAGACCCAAGTTTTTTCTTATGACTTTGTGAGACGGGAGTTGTTATCACGTCATTATTATATTGGCTTTGCCACTAATAGTTTGCTTTGCTGTCTTGGACATGTCACATAATTCCTCTTAGTCAAGGTTCCTTATATAAGAAAAAGAGATCATTAAACTAGGTAACTTCTTAAGGTTCAGCTTTAAATTGTCAGACTATGACAGATGGTAAGCATTTATGGGAAATATGTTTTAGTTTCTCCTCACTAAAACATATTTTATTCTAAACACTTCTGTATTACTGTGTCCTTCATTTTCTATTCCCCTTTCATCATGTGTGACTGGTATCTCACAGTGTTTTATTACATCCTTAATTTACTGGTTTGACTTCAGATTAAATTTGCCACTTCATCTTCAACTCTTATCAGTCGTATAATATAAGCCATGTCATGTATTTTTTAAATTAGTTGTATAAAAACTGTTTTTACCTGAGTCTCCAGGATTGCTGGTTCTTGCTTTGAGTGTTAACCCTGGATCAGTAGTTTTCATCCCTAGCTTCACGTCAGAACATCTGGCATATTTTACGTACTACCTGTGCCCTGGACTTCCTCCAAATGAATTAAATTAGAATCTGGAGTTGAGACCCACTGCCCTGCATTACTTTTGTTTTTGCAACCATTGGCTAGTTTTCTGTAGTTTAGAGTGTGGATATATTGACTTGATTTTTTTCCCGTGTATTATCGAGACAAGCAGTAGAAGAGACCACACGCTGTTAGTATCTGCCTTAATTTTTAATCCTTTGTTCCTGCTATGCTACCAAGTTAAACTGTGAAGATTCCTGGCCCAAAAGCCTATTTCCCTTATCCCTGAGGTTAAATTATAGTTTAATTTATACTAATAAGTAAAAATTCTCTACTTGTAAATAAAAATTCTTTTGGAGTAAAAATGTTTCTTTCTAGTGTTTTTGTTGTTGTTGTTTTTAGTTTTCTTATTTTCAATTTAAAACTTTTTCGGCTATCTCCTAACACTATCAGCCCAACACTTTGTTTTACTTTTAACTAGAAGTAAGACTATCATTAATAATTAAGCTCTGGGTAATTCCCAGTTTCATATTTTTTAATTTTTATTTTTTTATATTTATTTTATTTTTTTTGGTTGCGCCGGGTCTTAGTTGCAGCAGGCAGGCTCCTTAGTTGTGGCTCATGGGCTCCTTAGTTATGTCACATGTGCTCCTTAGTTGTGGCCAGCAGGCTCCTTAGTTGTGCATGCACATGGGATCTAGTTCCCTGACCAGGGATCGAACCTGCGTCCCCTACATTGGAAGGCAGATTCTTAACCACTGCGCCACCAGGCAAGTCCCAATTCCCAGTTTCATTTTAAGCAGTGGTGCTAAGAAGAAAAATTAAAAGCTCAGATTAGAGTAAAACCTATCTAATGGAGTCTTTTGAGCAGGCTTAACTGTTAAGATGGGACTAAAGAAGTATAGATGACTTAAATCATAGTTTCTGCTGCCAACTCAGTGTATTATTTACAGAGAATTTTAAATCAGGGCTGTTTCATACATACCAGTTGTGTTTAAAGAGTATAGCTGTAAATAGTTACATGATACTTAACAGTTTACTAAATACTACTTAGTAGATTATCATATTTGAACCTCCTAATGACCTTGTGAGAGCTTATCAGCTTCATATTATAAATGTGGAATCTGAATCTTAGAATGGGTAAGTGACTTGTTCAAGCTCACTCAAATATGTGAATTCAACTTTTCTGCTTCAAACCTCTGATTTTTCACACTTCAAGGCAAACTAATTTTAAAAGCAGTCTAAGTCAAACACAAGTCTGTTTCATGTAATGTACTCCAAAGTCAAAAGATCCCTCTTTTATTATGCATCATTACCATCATTACCTTTATTATGCATCATTACCTTATTGCTTATTGTGATTGTGGAATCATCAGGATCATATCTGTTCTTTTCTTTGGAGCTAAATTAGTCAAGTGCAGTTCCTGAATTTATGGAGTGCCAGAAATAATGAGTTTGAGTTATGCAAGGAATACTGTAGTATACAGTTTAGTTTATAGCAAAGGCCTACATATGATGAAGCTTATCATAAAGGAAAAGGATTTTTAATTAAGCTAAAAAGTGTTATGGTTCATAATAGAATTACAAGAAGTCCTACAAGTCCTATTCCTTGTCTATTGATATTAGCTCACATGACAGGTGATAATAGATGTTCGAGATAATCACAACAGAATTCTAATTAAATTCCTTTATACATAACTCCTCGTGAACTCGCCCCTCAATAACTTTAATTTAGATTAGGATGTAAAACAATTGGTGGTTCAGTTCATTCTCCAGTCTCACATTCTCTAGTGTGAGTGAACCAAAGTTCCAATCTTTTTTTAAAATTAATTAATTAATTAAATAAAATTTATTTATTTTATAAAATAAATAAAATTTATTTATAAATAAATTTTGTCTGCATTGGGTCTTCAATGCTGCGCACGGGCTTCCTCTAGTTGTGGCGAGCGGGGGCTACTCTTCACTGTGGCACACAGGCTTCTCACTGCGGTGGCTTCTCTTGTTGCAGAGCATGGGCTCTAGGCGCACGGGCTTTAGTAGTTGTGGCACACGGGCTTAATTGCTCTGCGGCATGTGGGATCTTCCTGGACCAGAGCTCGAACCCATGTACCCTGCATTGGCAGGTGGATTCTAAACCACTGCGTTACCAGGGGAGTCCCCAAAGCTCCAGTCTTACCAAGGGAAGAGGAGACAGTCAGGAGGTAGCTGCCTTGTGATCATTTGATACTTTCTTAATTTATTGTATGATGTACATTTTGTTTCTAGTAATTGGTCTATTTCCTGAGTGTCTAACACATGAAATATTTCTTTCCCTTTTCTTTTTTCACCAATTTTTTTATTCTGAATGGCTTTTTGTAAAAGCCCGGGTTGTTTGTTGTGTTGTTATCTTTCAATTCTTATGACTGTTTAAAACTTTGTGTTATTTCTATATCCTATAAACTGTTGTTTTTAACTATCTTAGTTCTAGGCACAGACAGGGTGGAGCAGATGACCAAAACTTACAATGACATCGACATGGTTACACATCTCCTGGCAGAGGTAGGAATATGTCTTTTTTTTCTCCAGTACAAAAAGCTGAAACTTGAAGATCATTTAGAATCTATCAAATTTGCATATCAATGAAAAATGATGATGTCTTTGCTGTAGGTTGTTCTGTATAAGGTTGTTACAGGTAGAACAACTGGCATACCAACTGGCATTCCAAAGAAGATGGCTCCTGAAGTTTATTGTTATGAAATTGTAGAGGGCTTAATTTTTTGTTATTGTGTTATAGTGGTGCTGGCTGGCTTCTCTGTCCTAGAAAAGCAATCTTTTAAAAAAAATTTTTTTTAAGTAAATCCTTGGTGTCACTCACCCTGAAAACAGAGCTGCCCATTCAAGAAGCAGCTCCATTGCAAATCAACACCAATAGTTTGAAGTATCTTCCCTTTTCTACTTTTATTCAGGCTATTATTTGAGCTCACTTTGTCCATGACATTTTTAGTATGTATAGTATATCTCTTCGAAGTGGCGGTCAAGAGGTCTCTCCCTATGCTTCAGTTTCAGTTGATCTGATGGAAATTTCAGTCTTTCTCTTTGAAGTACCCTTCTCCCCATATGCCCCCCTAACCCCCAGCAGCTCCCCAGAATGATTTTGTGTATGCCACTTAGCCTATGTTGAAAATGAGGTAAGTGGGCCTTGAAAATTTGGAGATAATCCATCCACCTGTTTTCATGTTGCTGTGGACCAAAAAAATAGAAGCATAATTTTATTTACAGTGATTAATGTAAGTGGAACCCATTCTCATATACTATAAGACACTCAGATGTATATTGATAGTTTTCCACCTTACAGAATACAATCCTCACCACCACCATGTCGAGGATTCCTATGCCTTGCTAAGTATCACCATCTACCCAGAAAGAGTAACTTTGCCTTGCTTGACTTTTCTGTAGGCTTTCCTGCATCACTACCACCAATTTCTTCAGACTCCCTTCTTTTCTACACTCTAAGAAGAACTCTATAGCCTCAAAATGTCCAGTCTATTATATCCCCTATTTTATTTCACATCATGATTCTTATACCAGTTGACAATAGGGCTCTTGATTATGCTTTCCTCTAAGTCTCTGGCTCTGAATGCATATAAGCTTTGCCCTAATTGGAACTGTATTCAACCTGCCTACTGTATCATTACCATGCTTAATAGACAAATGCATTCAACAAATATTTATTTGGCTTTTACTGTGTGTCAGGCCCTGTCCCCATTTTTAAAGACTATATTGATTTTGTAAGTCCCTAAAGTCATAAGTTGAAAAGTTGGGTTGCTCTATCCTAATTAATGGGGTGATCAGTAAACCTCACTTGATATCAAGAAATGCCCTCTTGCATTTATAACTGTGGTGGTCATCCATTTGACTAATGTATACTAAACATCATTTGTGTGTCAGGCCCTGTATTCATTTGTAATATCTGGGCATTAAAATGGATCTTGATGCTTTCTAGGACATTGCTTTTGAGTTTAGCAAAAATGACTGCAGAATTTTAAACTACCACTTAATTTTGTTTGTACTCAAAAGATGTGTTTTGGTATTTTAACAGAGAGATCGTGATCTGGAGCTAGCTGCTCGAATTGGACAAGCTCTCTTAAAGCGGAACCATGCCTTGTCTGAGCACAATGAAGCCCTCGAGGAGCAACTGGGACAAGCCTTTGATCAAGTAAGTCTTGGATCAAGTATTTGCAGCATGAAGCAATTAGGTCTTGGGAAATGGAGAATTTATTTTCCTGGGTGTCCCTGAAGTGATGACAATAGTATCCATTAAACTAACCAGTAGAGAAATGAAGTGTTATTGTACAGAGGAGTACTCATGTGACTCTACCTTAGTCAATATAAAAGCTTGTATTCAGTTCCTACAGTACTTGTGGCATCCTGCTTAGATTCTAACACTTTATCCTTACTCCTTTCTATAGACTTTTTGTGTGATCTTATCTTAAATTTATTTTTTAAAAATGTACCCCCAAATAATAGATACCCAAAGGAAGTATCTTTATTCAGAAACCCAAACAAAAGGAGAAAAGAAAAGGAAAAGAAATTTTTGAAACTATATTTATCCCATAGCAATAAATATTTTTAGTGAGAACTGATTTATTATTAATTTGAATGGTTACATTTTAAATCTTCCATAATTTGTTATTATCTGGTTTCATTTATATTTTATAAATCATCATGTTTAATAACATTCAAGTCTTTGTGTTAAAAGTACTTATTCCCTAGAACTAAAGTTGGGAAGTCATGTATAGTTATGCAGCTTAAAAAATACAAACCTTTAGGATGAGAATTTGAAGTAAGGTTCTATTCTGATATTTGAAGTTTCTTCCATTTTGTTTTGTTTTGAATTGTGAATGTATCATCTTATGTGAAATTTTCCTCCTATATTCCCATTATATAGAATATGGAAATTGGCTTTTCTTTTCACCTAGTATAGAAAAAGCTGTATTTGTTGAGTTAATGCTCTAAAATTATAGCTTAGGAAGTATCTGAGGTTTGTTACTCTCTTTGTAGCCCTTGTTACTTTAGTCGGTAAAACCTAACAGCTGATTTTATGACTTTGTTGTATGGTGAGAAACAATTGCTCCGTGAATTAGAAGCTATATTACTTGTAAATAATGCAAAATAAAGACCATCTTGTAAATCAAACCCTTTTGATGTACAGGTTAATCAACTGCAGCACGAGCTGTCCAAGAAAGATGAGTTACTTCGAGTTGTCTCCATTGCTTCTGAAGAGAGTGAAACTGATTCCAGCTGCTCTACACCTCTTCGCTTCAATGAGTCCTTTAGCTTATCTCAAGGTTTGCTGCAGTTGGACATGCTGCAAGAAAAGCTCAAGGAACTGGAAGAAGAGAATATGGTTCTTCGATCCAAGGTACAGTCAACTTAATTCTCACTCTCCTTTACCTTAAAGGCTATAAGGTTTAGGTCCAGGTAGTATTAAGGTGAAATATGGCATAACTAAGGACTTGCTATTGACATTGCAGTGGGGGGGGCGGTGACAGCCAAGGCACAGGTGCTTGCCCTCCATTGTTAATTAGATCCCACTGAAAAGTGGATAACAGCAAGCTGACAGGTGGAATAGAGAAAGGCACAGCATAGAATGTATAGCTTGTGGAGTTTACACAAATAACTAAATAATTACAACTAAGTTAAGAACTATATTGGAAAACTACAGTGTTTCATGAGCTTATATAATGGGGGGTTGGGGAATGGATCAAAGAAGTCCTACTTAAACATGTGACATTTTAGCTGATGCTAAGGGTTAGCCTATCAGAGATATATGTAGTGGAGGGGAGGGGTTGGGGTGGGGATGAGTAGGCATGTGCGAAGGCCCTTAGAGGAATAAGGGGGAGATATTTGTCATGTCCTTTTCCATGGTCTTTATTTTATGATAGATAAAGCTTTATGAGTTTTTGTTTTCCTTTGTAAGTGATGAACTTTTATCTTTAAATAAGTAGTAAAGATTTTTTTAGTTAATACTATAAAATCATTAGAAGATATTATCACATACTGATTTTTTTTTTTTCTTGAAGGCTTGTCACATAAAGACAGAAACGATTACCTATGAAGAGAAGGAACAACAGCTTGTCAGTGATTGTGTTAAAGAACTTCGTAAGTGTTAATGTATTCTGTTTTATAGCCTTTGGGCAGTTCTTCGGTAGGATATCACTAACTCAGAAATTAGGTCAATGGTTTCAATAGAAGCATCTCAAGAAACAATTTTAAATAACTGCTGAAAATCTTGGAATATCACATTGAGCCCACAACTCTAAATAAAGTACCATATGTACTTTTAAGAAGTATCTTTGTTTCAAATTGTCATCATCATTAAATAAAGACCTATATTTCTACCCATTATAGCGTGTTAGAATGAAAGTAACCAAAGCTCTTATTTTGTTGATGAGGAAATCGTCCTGTAGAGAATATGATTTGCCAAAGTCAGAAAACTGATTAGTAGCAAATCTAGGGATTAAATGATGGTGTAAAACGTAACACTCAATGAGTATTTGTTAAATGCCAGCTCTGTGTCTATAAAGGAATATATTTTACTTTCTTGTATTCTTACCTAAAATTTTTTAAAGTAAATCAGTTGGAAAAAGATCAGCTTTACTAGAGAAAAAATTTTAATCTCTTTATAAATATTGATATATATAGCCTTTTATGTTGAAAGAGAAGGTATGATAACAACATATCAGATCATTTGAGCTGTGGGCTTTAGAATGTGGTACCTTGCACAGAATATTAGAGAACCAGAGTAATGTAAATTGAATCTTCTCCATCAGCACTATCATTACCCACCTTTTACACTTTAAAAACAAAAAGCAATGACTTACCTAAGAGTTTATATTCTGGTCTCCTGTCTCCTTATTGCCATCCTTTGAATTGCTATAGACTTTACATCGATTTAAAAATAGTTTTATATAACACTTAGAAATAGCTTTGCCACTTGGGTTTAGATGTCAAAATTTTTATATGAAACAAAGCTTTATTTCCCCAGTGGAATTCTAAAGCATGCAAGAATGCTGCATTGTAAGAATTGCTTTAGAGGCCCTACTCAGTTTGCTGGGTATCCCAGAAAGTCTCTCCTACAGAAGCATCTCAGTAGCTTTTACAGATTGTGACTGTTCCATTCTGGAAATATTCCTTTGTTAGATTTGTTAAGTTTGATTTTCATTTCTTTTGGGATCTTATTTACATTCCTGAAGAGTTTTCAAAGACATAAATGTCTTGGCCCTTGCAAAGATATATAATTCACCTATCTCTTTTCAGCCTTCTTGTCCTTCATAAAGAAAAAGATCGAGGCAGAATCTTTAGCTTGCTTGCCTTTACAAGTTATCTCTTTTTAGCTTCAGTGCCTCCTATTAAATTCCCAGCATTAGTCTATTTCAGAAGAATCTTTAATTTTCTCTATTGGGTTATCCGGGTTTATTATTTTAAATTTATGTTAGAGAAAAATCAATTCACGGTAGTCCAGTGCTTGTTACAAAACAGGATTTGGCCCACAGGCCATAGTTTACCAACCTCTGCCCTATATTTATATTAATTTTAAGTTTTTTATTTTGTTTTCCAGGTGAAACAAATGCTCAGATGTCCAGAATGACTGAAGAATTGTCTGGGAAGAGTGATGAACTGATTCGTTACCAAGAAGAGATTTCCTCTCTCTTGTCTCAGATTGTAGATCTTCAGCACAAACTTAAAGAAGTAGGTTCATTCATTCAACAGGTGTTTGTTAAGCACTGACTTAGTACTATGCACTCTGCTAAGTGCTAGATACATTAAGCAAAATAAACATGGTCCCCACCCTTTTACATTGCTTTAATCTGATTGCTGTTTTAGTCTTCTGTCATGAAATATCGTGAATAACTACTTTCAAATCACTATTTCTTTCCATAAAATGGATTTTCCTCAGAAAGTTGTGATGTGAACTACTGATTCATGCTCATCGTCCTCTGAACACCTTGATGGATTTTGTATTCTGCCCATTTTATTGCACTTATTTGGCTTTTGAAAGGTTAGCTTTTGATAATCCTCTGGACTATATCCCTGAAATACGTTCTTAAGATGTCTTAAAAAGAGAGTAACCTGTATTTTATATGGGAAGGCTTCACATGTCTCTTTTAATACGTTGTTAGCATGTGATTGAGAAGGAAGAGCTGAGACTTCACCTCCAAGCTTCCAAAGATGCCCAAAGACAACTGACGATGGAGGTAATGAAATCTTCCTTTATCTTGTGTTATATGGGAGGGGAGGAATGAATAGTTCCTTTCTTCTTTGTGAATAAGAATGGCTAAAGGTGATAACCAGATTTAAAACAACAACAGAAGATTAAGCTGAAAATTATGAGATCTAAGAAGTAAAGCTTTTTAAAGATTCTGTCTCTAAAATAATAGTAACAAGACAACATCCTTCTTGATTAATAGGAAAACCTTGAGTTTATAAGATTCTTTAGGAATACATGACCCTTTTACAGGTCTATATTAACTAACCCAACAGTTTTTAAAATAAGATAATCTGCATTTTTTAATAAGCACCCCTAGCCCTAGTGGTGCTGATGATCTAGTCCACATAACACACTTGAAGAAATTTTTGAAGTTAAAATGTTCTCTGAAAATTATGTACTCTTTTAACATGCTTGTGTATCTAACTATAAAAAAAAATTTTGAAACAAGGGAGAAGAAACTACTTGTTTAGGATGATTGAGCACCCTGACATCTTATTAAATACTTTGTAAACTTGATCTTGTCATTTACAGACTTCAGAGTTCATTCATGTTCATTATGTTTAAAAATATACATATCTAATATTCCACTAAACTAACTTGACCATAGCTATTATACTTCCTCTATAAGTTTTTTTTTTTTAAGGATAGGAAGCATTTACTATTGAATTGACAGTTATGGTTGTCTCAGCTACATTTCACGTTTTTAGGAAATCATGCATATATATAATTCTGGCCAAGACACCCCTAAATCTGGCAGCTTGAAATATATATACTTTCCTTGCTTAGTCTGTTTCAGAGTCTTTGTATTAAATTTAAATTCATAAAATTAGTCCTCTGGATAAAATTTAAACTTATCCCAATGGGATTTTTTCCCCATTGTCATTTTGAGAATATAATAAGGAACACTAATTGCCATCCTATCTTTCAGCTGCATGAGTTACAAGACAGGAATATGGAGTGTCTGGGAATGTTACATGAATCGCAAGAAGAAATAAAGGAACTTCGGAATAGATCTGGCCCTGCTGCTCATCTCTACTTCTCCCAGCCATACGGAGTTTTTTCTGGGGTAAGGAACTGAGAAAGAAACTTGAGATTAGATGGTCCTGAGAGTAATATGGTTTCTAATGGTGTAAAGCATCTTGAGAAGAGGTAACATGGTTTGTCCTTGTTGATTGAATTTAATTATTGATTTAGGCCTTCATTTGCATATCTGTATCTACCTTAATAGTCTTTATTTATTGTAGCCTTCCTTCTAACAGTTGACCTTCCAGATTTATTGTATGAGATGAACCCTAAGGAAATTAAGGTTAGGTTTGTGTCCCATAGAGTTACTTAAACTACAGTCATCCTCCTTACCCTAATCCCACCATATACCACTTATTCAACTAGTGCTCTGAACATTTAAAACCTCTTTTAACAGATCTTGAGTTTCTTGCTATATTTAACTTCAGTTAGAGTGTAAGTCCCATGAGAGCAGGAATCATATTGATTTGATTCCTCAATAAACAATCTTTTTTTTTGAAATAAAGAAATTAATGAAAACTTCTGAGTTTATGCCCGAATTTGTAATGTTGGTTCAAAGAGTTATTTTAATAATCTAGTTCTTAAACACTTACATGCAATCCTGTGAAATTTTTTAAAAGACTGAAACTATAAATTATAATAGATTTTCTAGAGAATATTGGGACAGAATATTTTTTAATTTTGAGGTAATTTTAAACTTAGGATAACGTTCCAACAATAGTACAAAAAACTCATATATCCTTCATCTAGATTTCTCAAATTTAATATTTTACTACATTTGTCATATCGTTCTCTTATTTTTTCTGGACCATTTAACAGTAAGTTGCAGATAACCCTGTTACCCCTTAATAATTCTGTGTGTATTCATTAAACAAGGATACTCTCAAGGACATTCTCCTACATGACCACATATAACCATCAACTTCTGGATATTGACATTGATACAATACTATCTCTGTCTCATCCACAGAACCCATTTAAATTTTGCCAATTGTCCCAACAGTGTCCTTTGAAGGATACATTGCATTTGGTTGTTTCAATCGGGGACAGTTCTTCTGTCTTTGTTTTGTCCTTCGTGACCTTTGTAGAATGTCCTCAGTTTGGGTTTGTCTGTTGTTTCCCCACAATTAGATTTAGGTAACGCCATGTTCTTCTCAGAACATTGTATTACAAGGCACACATTGTCTCTTTTTCCCATTGCTGATGATATTAATTAACTTTGATCGCTTGGTTAAGGTAGTATCTGCCAGTTTTTTCCATTGTAAAGTTAATCATTGTTAATAGTTAATTGAATTAATGTTACTAAATTAACTTTGCATTGATGAAAATTGTCAGATTCTACCTTAACCAAGTGATCAAAGTTACTATTTTGGGGGTGATACTTTGAGACTGTTTATTCTGTTCCTCATCAAGCCTTTACCCACTAGTTTTAGCACCCATTGATGGGGATGTATCTGACTCAGTTATTACTATGATAATTGCCAATGGTGACTTTCTAATTCCATCATTTTTTCAACTTTTTTTAGTTGGCATTCTTTTATAAGTTAGAGCTTTTCTGTGTCATTTATTTATTCATTTGTTCATTTGGTTATGTCAGTATAGACTCAGGGATTCCTATTTTAATCAGTGGATTATAATCCATTATTACTGTTTTTTATTTTGATACTTAAATTGTCCAAGATATGACCAGTGGGATCTCCTTCAAGCTTCTCTTGCCCTTTCCCTGGCCCAGTCCTGGGATCAGCCATTCTCCAAGGAGCTCTGGTTATTTTTAATGAGAAATGATATTTAGAATCCAAAATCTGGGTGCTAGGTATCCAATGCCACTAGAGTACCATTGCTTTGAGGTCCCCTCAACAGATAGAGCTAGGAAATATGTGTAAGTTCATATACACCCACATAAACACATCTATATCTATCTTTACATTCATACCTATGTTTATATGTATATTTAAAATCATGAGTTCACACCAGTACCTCCAATTCTAGTCATTGTTAGCACAGCCCCACTGAGCATGACGCCCATGCTAGTTGAATCTTCATCCCTGACCAGGGGAAGGGGAAGCTTACTTATTTTTCTTTTAACAATTTTTTATATTATAAAAGCTTTACATGTTTATTATAGAAAAGTTAGAAATTACAGAGAAGCAAAAAGAAATTGCTAAATACCATCAAATCCTGACCTCCACAGAATCACTATTAACATCTTGGTTTATAGCCTTTCAAACCTTTTATTTTTGTGTGTCTGCATATGTAATACTTTTATTTATCATAATTGGTTTTTCCCACTGCTTTCTTGTAAAAATATATCATGAAAAAGTAGTTGGTTCTTGTTTAAAAGTTACATTTCCAGAATGTCTCTTTTCTTCCCCTGCATTTTAGCCTGTGAATGTTTTCTTTTATTATAACACCGAAAGTATTGGATTCTGGAAACTCCGTTAAATAATTTAAAGATAGTTTATTTCTCCTAACAGGCTTCTTAGATAATAACTGTTTGTAACATCAAACTCTTTTTCTTAGGAATCTCTGGCGGCTGAGATTGAGGGGACCATGCGTAAGAAGCTGAGTTTGGATGAGGAATCTTCTCTCGTTAAACAAAAGTAAGTTCAGATCACATGTGTTGTTACTCAACCATTGGGATGGAAATTAAACAGAAGCCACAATCCATAGTGATTGGTATTATGGGATTCAGTAGTAAATCTGCTTACTATTCAGTTTTTTCCTCGTAGTGCTTGCATCTGTGAGAGCATTCTCTTGTTCTGAAATTTATTTTCTAATAATTTCTCCAAAACTTCAGATGCTCTTCAGGGTGGCTTTATTTTTAATTAACTACACTTACATGTCTCTTTTCTAAAGCATTCCAGTGGTAGGCAGTGGCAATAATGAACACTTCTCTTTTGACAGAGCCCAACAAAAACGGGTATTTGATACTGTCAAGGTTGCCAATGACACACGGGGCTGCTCTGTCCCATTCCCAGCTCTGCTACCCATTCCAGGCTCCAACCGTTCAAGTGTCATCATGACAGCAAAACCTTTTGAATCTGGTTTACAACAAACAGAGGACAAAACAATCCCGAAGAGTAACTTGGAGGAAGATCCAGGGTAAGAAACATAGGTTCACACACTCAAATTCCAGCATTGCTCTGTGCTGTCCCAAGGAAGCTCTGGAACTGTCAGTTTTCATTCAGTAATGATTCCCTGTATTATTATTTGTTAGATCATTGGAGTGAAAAAGTTTAATTAAGTGTATTCAAAATGGAGTTTTCATTGAACTATAAAATTCTTTACTACTTTCGTCTCTGGTTTGGCAAAATTTGAGTCTAAATCTTGTGTTCAAAGTCAAATTTGTTTGAATCTGTTTGGTCATTGGCAGTTATGCATAGCATTACATGACACTTTCTCATAACCCATGGCCCTAATTTCAGTTGCTTTGGTGCCATTAGGATAAGCAATAATCTGGAATACCTACTGAGGAAAACTAGATTGCTCTTAATTTCCTATTTGTTTAAATTTAGATTTTTTTCTGCATTTTATTAATTCAGTTCATTGAATTTTGTATAACTATAAATTAAAGAGAATGACTGGAAAGTCAGCTGAAAGTTTTTGAAAATTAGATGTTTGGCATCTGAGGGAAGTCTTTCTTAATGCAGAAACCCATTACCTTGGGTTTTCAATTGTATTGCCTGGTTTTAGGGGTAGATTCTATACACACAATAGCTTGATGTTTCAATACTACCTCATTGTACACAGTTACCTTAGGAAAAGATCTAACAAACAGATCTGTGTGAATTCACACATGGAATAACTAAAGCTTGGCTTGCTACTCTTTCTTTTGGTATCAGTTGTAAGATACCGCCAATTTTTTAAATGTTAATAAGTGAAAAACTGTGTATTGCAGAACTGTGAAAGTGCGGTATTTACATATCTTGTTGGTTTCTTTTAAATGTTTGTAATATTCATAGAGGATTCTATGGCCTAAAGTAAATTTTTTCACGTTTTAATATTTTTGAAATTGTTTATCTTTTGCAGCTAATGACATGTCATAGTTTAATGGGTAGCATTTTTTTCTTTCTTAGTACATAAAATAATGGTACCTCTTGCCTTCAATGGTATTATAGATTCAGTGAAATATAATAATATTTAGTTTTTTGACTACCTAATTTATAGATGGTCATTATCTGTAGGTTCATAAATTAAGTGAAACAGAAAAGTTAATAAATACAACATAATAAAGTATAGTTTTGCCTATCTGAAGTCACTTGAAATGACCTATAAAAACATTATATATATGGGCTTCCCTGGTGGTGTAGTGGTTAAGAAGCCGCCTGCCAATGCAGGGGACACGGGTTCAAGCCCTGATCCGGGAAGATCCCACATGCCGCGGAGCAACTAAGCCCATGCGCCATAACTACTGCGCCTGCACTCTAGAGCCCGCATGCCACAACTACTGAAGCCCGTGCACCACAACGAAGAGTAGCCCCCGCTCGCCACAACTAGAGAAAGCCTGCATACAGCAACGAAGACCCAGTGCAGCCAAAAATAAATAAATAAATTTATAAAAAATAAAAATATTATATATATATATTAGAGATTTGGGTTTGTTGTTACTATTTCTGTATTCCAGCTATCTAAGAAAAGATATGTGTTTTTAAGCTCAATCTCTTGAACATTCACCATTGTGGAAAGGAGAGGTCTATGCTATGCTTATGCCCCTCACAGATCTAGTCAGTGAATGTGTTTTTCCCATAGGAACGTCCAGAAAGTCTGTCAACCAGGACACTCTGCAGAGAGCGATTTGGCTACAGCCCTGCATCGCCTGAGTCTGCGGCGACAGAACTACTTAAGTGAGAAGCAGTTCTTTGCTGAAGAATGGCAACGGAAGATCCAGGTTCTGGCTGGCCAGAAAGAAGGGGGAAGTGACTGTGGCATCCCCACAGAGAGCCTTGCCTCCCTCTGCACCGACCAGTCGGAGATCACAGACCTGAGCAGTGCCAGTTGCCTTCGAGGTTTTATGCCTGAAAAATTGCAAATTGTCAAGCCCCTTGAAGGTAATAAGTAAGGAAGGGCTGTTTCTAAGCCATGTTGTTTGTTGGCTTTGCCTTCCCCTGGAATTGAGATTTCTCTTGTAATTATAAGAACCCTAAATGCAGAAGACGTCTTTATTATCCCTAAATCTTCGCTGTTTGTGTGACCGTGCAGAACCTTGTGGAAAATGAATGAAGAGATTTGCATTCTCCAAGCCATCAGCTGTCAGTTCTCTTCTACTGATACTGTTTTTTTACAACTGTGAGGGAGGAGGAGTAATCTTTTCTTGTCCTTTGCTAAGGAATATCCTTGATAGCGGTTTTCATGGTAAGATAAACAGGATATGATAGATGAATAAAAATAATCTATATGTAATGCTTCCTCTCTACCTTCCTTTTCAAAAAAAAGTTCTTTACCCAGAAAGTGTCAGTTACTTACAGATATGTGTGTCTGTATTTTTCTTTGTTCAGTTCTGTTAATTTCAGGTCAGTTTCTATTCTCTCCTAAGAACTTGAATTCAAAACAGATCTCTTTGTTTTATGGAATATTGACACTATTCAAATGATCCTCTGCTAGTATCATGAAAGAGTCTGCATTAGACAAAATTTTGAGTCAGTAACCTATAAGGACCCCTCAAACTCAAAGGTGCTATAAGTTCGTTTTATTCATTAGTAGTCAGTACAGGTATTTGTCAGAGTTGCCATTTTTAGGATTATATGACTATTAGTGACAGTTAGACACTGCAGGTACTTGGGATGATCATTCACCAGTATTCGTAGACAGAAACCGTGAGGATTGATCCTCCTTTTTTTATCATCTCCTTCGCTTTCCTACTCTCCCCAGGAGCCTGGTGAAAGGAGAGTCATGAGCACATATGAGTCTTGAGAAATATACAAAAAAAACCCATGGTAATTCAAGGTGCCTTCCAACCTAGGAGCCTGGCTTTTGAGTTCAAAGTTCATAGGCATAGTTCCAGGACAAAGGAGTATTAATTTTTGTCACCTGGGAAAATACAACCCGATGTGATACGTATCTTCTTTCTCATCACTGCCTCAGCATCCTAGTTCCTATTAAGGGTGTTGTCTTGGTTTCTTCACCCCTGCTTTAGATATCCTTTTTAAAGTTAACTTTTGAAATGAACAGATTATTATTCATACCTTTATCATCTTGTTAATCTTCCACAGATAACTTTAATTTACAAATTTTACCAAAATATTAAGACCAAATAAGTAGTTTTATTATTATCATGACTTTTTTACACATACAGTTTTAGCTTCTTTCAAGATTTAATATTTGTGGGAAATTTAAAACATGTTCCTTTTTTGGTTTGCGTACTCAGGATCACAAACTCTGCACCAATGGCAGCAGCTTGCTCAACCAAATTTAGGAACCATTCTTGACCCACGACCAGGTGTCATCACTAAAGGCTTTACCCAGTTGCCCAAGGATGCCATCTATCACCTCTCAGATTTAGAAGAAGATGAAGAGGAAGGTATCACTTTTCAGGTTCAGCAACCTCTTCAAGTGGAACAGAAACCATCAATATCCCAGCCAGTAACAGGAATCTTCTTGCCGCCCATGACTTCAGCTGGTGGTCCAGTTACAGGTGAGAAGAGTGCTTGGTTGAGTGTAGTCCAGTAAACAGTAGTACTTTGCTTTCTGCGTAACTGTATGGTCAGCTGACTGCCTCTATATAAATCTTACTGGAGTGTACTCAGTCTTGAATATAAGACAATAGAAATCTATAGCATAAGTGCCCCTTCTAATTCTCTCCACTTCTTAGCCAACCTGCATAAATAGATAGGCAGAGAGAGAGCAGTTCAGCCAGTGGTTCACAAAACTTTTGGACTCAGGATCTCTTTACACTCTTAAAAATCGTTAAGAATTCCAGAGAGCATCTGCGTGGGTTGTATCTACCGATATTTACCTATTAGAAATCAAAACTGAGAAATTATAAAAATATTTATTGACTCATTATTTTAAAAGAGTTACATGTTAGCACAAATAATATGTTTTATGAAAAATAGCTGTATTTTTTAAAGTAGTTTACAAAGTGGTTTAGTTTTACAGTTTTGCAAGTCTCTAATTTATGGCTTAACAGAAGATAGCAGGATTCTTGTGTCAGCTTCTACATTCAGTCTATTACAATATGTTGTTTTGGTTGAGGACTATGAAGAAAATACAGCCTCATCATCATCAAAAAGTCTACAAACAATAAATCCTGCAGAGGGTGTGGAGAAAAAGGAACCCTCCTACACTGTTGGTGGGAATGTAAATTGGTGCAGCCACTATTGAGAACAGTATGAAGGTTCCTTAAAAAGCTAAAAATAGGGGCTTCCCTGGTGGCACAGTGGTTGAGAGTCCGCCTGCCAATGCAGGGGACACGGGTTCGTGCCCCTGTCCGGGAAGATCCCACATGCCGCGGAGCAGCTGGGCCCACGAGCCATGGCCGCTGAGCCTGCGCATCTGGAGCCTGTGCTCCGCAACGGGAGGGCCACAACAGTGAGAGGCCCGCGTACCGCCAAAAAAAAAAAAAAAAAAAAAGGCTAAAAATAGAACTACCATATGATTCCTGGGCATGTATTCGGAGAAAACCATAATTCAGAAAGATACATGCACCCCAGTGTTCATGCAGCACTATTTACAATAGCCAGGACATGGAAGCAACCTAAATGTCCATGAACAGATGAATGGATAAAGAAGATGTGGTACATATATACAATGGAATACCACTCAGCCATAAAAAAGAATGAAATAATGCCATTTGCAGCAACATGGTTGGACCTAGAGATTATTATACTAAGTAAGCCAGACAGAGAAAGTCAAAAATCATATGTTATTGCTTATATGTGGAATCTTAAAAAAATTGATATAAATGAATTTATATACAAAACAGAGATAGACCCACAGACATAGAAAACAAACTTATGGTTACCAAAGGGGTGAGGGGGGTGGGGAGGGGATAAATTAGGAGTTTAATAATAAATTAATAATTTATTTAATAATAAATTAGGGATTAGCATATACACACTACTATATATAAAATAGATAACCAACAAGGACCTACCGTATAGCACAGGGAACTATACTCAATATTTTGTAATAATACATAAGGGAAAAGAATATGAAAAAGAAAAAATATATATTTATTTATGTAACTGAATCACTTTGCTACATACCTGAAACTAACAGAACATTGTAAATCAACTATACCTCAATAGAAAAATAAAATGAAATAAAAAGAATTTAAAATTTAAAAAAAGAAAGGAAATACAGCCTCACACAAATACATGGTTGGAAAAGGAAAGAGTATTTTAATAGCCTCTTCAGGTATTTGTGGATATTCTTTGATATTACACCAAAACTTGATAAGTGGTAGTCTCTTTAAGGTTTGTAGCAATGTGAATCTAAAACCCTATCAGTGAATTTTTCATACTTTGTTACATTAAAATCTATTAGTCTGTCCTGCTCTTTGAATGCATCTTTTACCCATGCATGATTTTGTTAACATAATGCATTGGTCATTTGGAAAATATTGGTTCACTGAGTTATGCAGATCTTCCAAATGTTGACCCATTTCATTATAGAATATATTAAAATCATATATATCACCACCTGTCTCATTGGGTAAGTCTTTTTGTATTAGGAAGCTTTCAAGCTCTCAGCGATGGATACAAGTCTACCAAAACACTTATTTTCACTTGAAAGCTCAAATTTCGTCACTGGCAGCAAATCCTGTCAGCTATTTTCTTGAAGAGACAGGCTCACTACATTCTTTTTCAAGAAAATGTTGCCAAATATCCAAGTCTGAATAACTGTAGTTTTTGTATTAATTGTTCTTTCAAGTAAAAATGGTGTTCTGTGAAAAAAATGTAAAAATTGCATATGTGCTTTTCCTCTAGATAACCATTGTATCTCTGTATAAAGCAGAGTGCTTAATGCTTCCCATTTCATCACACAGAATATTAAAAAGTTTCAAGGGTCAAGGTTTTTTTTTTAATTTATTTATTTATTTATTTTTGGCTGCTCTGGGTCTTCATTGCTGCACGCAGGCTTCCTCTAGTTGCAGCGAGCAGGGGTTACTCTACATTGCGGTGTGCGGACTTCTCATTGCAGTGGCTTCTCTTATTGTGGAGCATGGGCTCTAGGCACGCGGGCTTCAGTAGTTGTGGCATGTAGGCTCAGTAGTTGTGGCTCACGGGCTCTAGAGCACAGGCTCAATAGTTGCGGCACATGGGCTTAGTTGCTCCGCGGCATGTGGGACCTTCCCGGACCAGGGCTCGAACCCGTGTTCCCTGCCTTGGCAGGTGGATTCTTAACCACTGTGCCACCAGGGAAGCCCAAGGGTCAAGATTTTTTTTATATATATAAATTTATTTTATTTTTATTTATTTATTATTTTTGGCTATGTTGGGTCTTCATTGCTGTGCATGGGCTTTCTCTAGTTGCAGTGAGCCGGGGCTACTCTTCATTGTGGTGTGCGGGCTTCTCATTGCGGTGGCTTCTCTTGTTGCGGAGCATGGGCTCTAGAGCGCATGGGCTTCAGTAGATGAGGCGCATGAGCTCAGTAGTTGTGGCTCGTGGGCTCTAGAACACAGGCTCAGTAGTTGTGGCGCACGGACTTAGTTGCTCCGTGGCTTGTGGGATCTTCCTGGATCAGGGCTTGAACCCATGTCCCCTGCATTGGCAGGCGGATTCTTAACTACTGCGCCACTAGGGAAGCCCCTGGCAGGCGGATTCTTAACCACTGCGCCACCAGAGAAGTCCCCCAAGGGTCAAGATTTAATATATAATTTTTACTGCTTCATCAGGACGTTCTGATATGAATTTGGCTTTTTTTTTCCTACTGTAATTGGACAATAGTGATGAATACTAGTACAGTTTGGTGCCATTGCCTTGATTTGTGCTACGGAGCCAGCAGCTTTACCCACTATTACTTTTGCACCAGCAGTGCAAGTGCCAACCCAGTCAAAAAGGCAGATAGCATCTTAACATTGCTATGAAAGTAGTTTTGACCTGTAGACACACAAAGTGCAAACAACACTTCGAGAACCACTGGAGTAGATAGTTTGGCTAGAAAGATTGGACGACTAGTTCTTGGTTTGGTTTTTTTTTTCTAATGTATTTTTTCAGAATGTGTTTTTCTCTTGTTTCTAAGCTATATTAAATCCTTTTGAATTACAGTTTCAAATTATTGGAAGGATTCAGCTACATACTAACCAGTGGATACTAATACAATATGTAGGGCTTCCCTGGTGGCACAGTGGTTAAGAATCCGCCTGCCAATGCAGGGGACACAGGTTCCAGCCCTGGTCCGGGAAGATCCCACATGCTGGGGAGCAACTAAGCCCGTGCACTACAACTACTGAGCCTGCGCTCTAGAGCCTGCGAGCCACAACTACTGAGCCTGTGTGCCACAACTACTGAAGCCCACGTGCCTAGAAGCCCTTCTCCACAACAAGAGAAGCCACTGCAATGAGAAGCTCGCACACCACAACGAAGAGTAGCCCCTACTCGCCACAACTAGAGAAAGCCCACACACAGCAACGAAGACCCAACGCAGCCAAAAATAAATAAATAAATAAATTCATGGGGAAAAAATGAAATATGTATATTTCATTTCTAGATTTGGGAATTTTTTTATAAAAGGCACCAGATAAATGCTGTATTATTAATAGTAATGACGAACTTTTTACATTATTAACCTAGTCTTTCAATTTTGTGTTTGATTCCCTAAAACTGTCTACTTCAGCTGCAACCTCAAACCCAGGAAAGTGTCTCTCCTGCACAAACTCAACATTCACCTTCACCACCTGTAGGATATTACATCCTTCTGATATTACTCAGGTTACCCCCAGGTAAGAGGGGCTGGGCAATATGAGGCCTTACTTCTTTCCTCAACTCTGTTTTCTTGAATTTCTTTTTTAAATTACTGTCATTTTAATTCCCAGAATTTTAATTAATGTCCTGTGATAATTTGTCTTTAGAATATTTTCACATTGTATTTTCTCATTTGATCATTATAACTCTTTGAAGTAGGCAAGCCAAGCGAGTATGTAGTGTCTAAATGAGAAAATGAGGCGTAGAAAGTTCAGGTGACTGGTCCAAGGGCAGGCAGGTAGTAAATGACCCAGCTGAAACTATACCCAGAGTTAGCCAGACTGCAAGATTGGAGGGACTAGTCCTCTGCACAAGACTGCCCTCATTTCTGATATGACCTGCAAGTTCAGGGGCTTCCCAAAACCATGCTCTTGTTTGATAAATTTTCTAGAAGGACTCACAGAACTCACTGAAAGCTGTTATGCACGTGGTTACTGTTTATTACAGGGAAAGGTTACAGGATAAAATTAGCCAAAGGAAGAGACACATAAGTCAGAGTCTGGGAGGGTTCCGCACATGAAACCTCCCTGTCCTTAGGAATCATTACTTTCCTGGTATCAGTGTTTGATAGTGCACACAGAGTATTGCCAACCAGGGAAGCTCACCCGAGCCTTAGTGTCCAGATTTTTTTTACTGAGGCTTCACTGTGTAAGGCATGATTGATTGATTACCTATATAGCTATAACTCACTATAACTATAATAACTCACCTCCAGGTCCACTGACGCAAAGCTTCCACCCTAAATCACATGGTTAGTCTTCCTGGCATGGCCAGTCCCCATCCTACAGCTATTGGGTGTGGCCAGGTCCACTCCAAGATCTAGTGTGGCCAGGCTCCATCCTGAACAAACACACTTCTAGCAGCCATGGCATAGATTACCTCCCAGAAGCTGAGGGCAAAGCCAGAACCCTCTGGGCAGTCCAAATTATTTACTACACAGATTAGAACAATAAGCAATATTGCTGAAATTTCTGTCCTACCAATTCCAAAAAGAATCTAAGGCAATTTCCAGAGATATGTAGAACTTTGCAGGATAATGTTAACTAGAAGTAGAGAAGAAAAATGAAGCAAAAAAGAATCAAGAGTAAGGATATAAAATGGATAGAGGAATACACCTAGTGTATAAATTGTACTATAAAGTCTTATATACTTGCTAAGTAAGGTGAGCCATGTATTTGAGTCTTAGCTTTTTAGCTGCCAGTGTAGAGGGAAATAACATTATGATTCACAGTGTTTGTAAGATAGAAGCAAATTGACTTTAGGGAAGCATTTGGGTGGTATCCTATAAAGACCTCAATAAAGTCTACAGGCATACCTGCAATTTTTCTACATTGTTCTTATAGTCAACAAGATAGCAGGTTTTATAAAATTGGTTCCTGAGGAGGCTCTCAATACAGGTTGATACCATCATTTGGTATGGTAGTGACATGAACAGTTTAGGAAAAGACGGGCAATTCTACAATAAAGTAGGACCAGGGAGGTGGGAGACTGGGAATACAGTAGACAGATTACATCAGAACCAAGGCGTCAAAGTTGTTTGCTTTAATACAAGTTGGTACTTTAGAAAGTTTATTTATTAATCCTAAATTTGCATCTTGTTCATAATCTTTATAAATCTTGATATCTAGATATTCTGAGTATTTTGTGTTAAAGTGAAAGTTCATGTATTAAATGCTGGTAACATTTGCTCAAGGGGGAATAATTTGCTAAAGAAGTACCCTCTCCATTCTATCACCATTTCCTTGAGTACATGATTGTTTATTTAGTTTTTTTTCTTTTTAACAAAACATAGAATAAGAAGAAAGATTCTAATAGCTGTCAAAGCTTTTAATTATTTTTAATTTCCCAGAAACCCATGCTTTAAGTCAAGATTGAGAAAAATTCGTTCCATGGGTATCCTTATAGTACTATTCTTTGGAATTAACATTCTTGGAAGTTTAACAATTAGAACTTTATTCTCAGTAACATAAAATTGACAGATTAAAAAGAAATGTGTCTCCTTAGAAAACCGTCTTTGGTTTAATTATGAAAGATTGTATTTTCTAAAAGGTTGAAGAATTGTTAAATCACGGATTATTGTCTCTTGGTGTATTTCACTTTATGGAATGGATATGTTAGTAAAAATCTCTAAACTTTACTTTCTTCAATATTTAAATTTCTTTGATTTTTTAATTATAAAATTTAGTTGTATTTCCACAGATACATATTTTAGAGTTAAAATTTAAGAATAATAAAGTAATGATTTGAGAATAATAAAGTTATCTAAGTACAGTAAACTCATATTCTGTGAAAAGAAATATGTTTCAATAAGTTAATGACTAAATTACAAATAACTAATCATTGAAGTAACACATCAAAATTTTCATTCCTCAGATACTGATGTGTTGCCTGTTCCTCTATATTTACTATGGATAACTACTGTAATTACCTTAAATGCTGACTTGGGATTACTTTTTATTCTTAAATTCTCTCTCCTGCTTTTTTTTTTTTCTTTCTGTGTAAAGCTCTGACTTCACTTCATTATCCTGTGGAAGTAGTGGTAGCAGTTCATCAAACACAGCAGTGAATTCTCCTGCTATGTCCTATAGGCTCAGCATTGGTGAATCCATCACCAACCGACGAGATTCCACCATAACCTTCAGCGGCACCATGAGCTTGGCCGAACTTCTACAAAAGCGAGGCATCTCTGCTAAAGCATACCACAGCCCAGTTTCAGAGGACCCCCTCCTCCAGCCTCTCCCTAGAGGCCTGGCTATCCCTTCCACGCCACCAAATTCACCGTCTCACTCACCTTGCCCTTCTCCTTTGCCCGTTGAGCCTCGGGTGCATCTCAATGAAAATTTTTTGGCCTCCCGACCAGCTGAAACATTCCTCCAGGAGATGTATGGCTTGAGACCATCCCGAAACCCTCCTGATGTTGGCCAGTTGAAGATGAACTTAGTGGACAGGCTGAAAAGACTGGGGATAGCCAGAGTGATCAAGACCCCTGCAGCCCAGGAAAATGGAAGAAGCCAAGAGGCAGAAAATGGTCTTGAAAGACCAAACTCTGCTGTCTATTTAAATTCAGGTAGCAATTTATTGAGTGGACTGAGGAGGAATCAGAGTCTTCCAGTCATTATGGGTAGCTTTGGCACCCCAGTTTGCACATCATCACCCAAAATGGATATCCTGAAGGAAGACTGAGGTTCAGCAGTTGACTGACCTCTTACACAAGTTAGCACATGAAGGAAAGATTTGCACTGATACATGTAGTCTTGTCTGAGAGAAAAGGAATGTTGCAGAAGGGTTGTGAATGTGGGAAGGGGAAAGTGGAAGAACGGAAACAGAATTGGCATGAGGTCTGTCTGATAAATTGAAAGTATAAATGAATAGGTCATGAGTGTTTGGAAGCAGAGAAAGAAGAAATGTTTAATGTGGTCCTCCAGTTGGTATTTCTTGTCTTGAAAATAAAAAGTGACTGGAAAATAAATTCAGTAATATTGGAACATACCAGAAATACTGAACTTGCTAGCACATTTACTTCTGGTGAGCATAAGCAGGGAGGACCCAGGTTAGAAGATGGGAAAAAAGGAGGAGCAGCTTTGACCGTTACCTTTAGAAAGCTGTTCTAGAAGGTTGCTGGAGTAAACTCAGTCTGTTAGTGAGACAACAGTGAGATGGCTTATCTGCTGGCCCCTGTTAATGTCTGGTTAAATTACACCTCCATCAAAGAGTATGCTCACTGCATTATCAGCAAGGAATTTTACCTTTTGCATAAGATCAGACTAGTGGAGACTCCCTTTTTGCTTTCTGTTTTCAGGCCTTTGAGCCACTGGGATCCCAAACATAATCCACATTCCTTTTACATTTGTGATTAATAAGGGTTATTTTTTTTTTTTTTTTTTTTTTTTTGCGGTACACGGGCCTCTCACTGTTGTGGCCTCTCCTGTTGCAGAGCACAGGCTCTGGACGCGCAGGCTCAGCGGCCATGGCTCACGGGCCTAGCCGCTCCGCGGCATGTGGGATCTTCCCGGACCAGGGCATGAACCCATGTCCCTTGCATCAGCAGACGGACTCTCAACCACTGCGCCACCAGGGAAGCCCAAGGATTAATTTTTTTAATTTGTATTTTTATACAGTAACCCCCCAAACAACACGAATGGGGGGTAGGAGGGATTTACTTTAAGAAGGAAGATATGGGTACATTGGAACCAAGGAAACTTGTTTTCAGAATATTTCTTCTGAATAAGTGCATTGGCAAAGGTGTATGAACATAATTACTGTACATGTCTTTCAAATTTCCTTGGAGGCTGGATGGGTTAAACCAGAAGTGCAATCAATAGGAATTAGAGAATGTTGTGTATTTATCTTTGTAAGTATTTTTGGAAGGAAAGTTGGTTGCAACTAAACTTTTTCCAAAATGTGCTATGCATACTTTTAATGAAAGATGACATATATTTGCACAAAAGTTCTCAGGCACAGCAAATTATTATAAACTGAAGTAAAACCCAGGTGCTTTCTTTGAGATTGTGTTTTTTTAATATAAAATAAAATTAAAACATCTGCCTTTTTCTTCATACCCGCGGAAGTAGAGAATGAACTTTTTTCGATGGGAAAGTCAAATGCTTTTTCTTTTTCTCTGGGATTCCTTTTTTCTCTTTTTTAATTATGTGAAATGGCAAAGTGAAACTCCGGGATTAGGTTTCAGCTTTCAGCAGTGTGACGCAAGGCTGTGAATTGGGAAAAACAGATCTGTTTTCTGAGCATTGCTGACCAAGGTCTGCTTCTCATCAGATGACATGGCTTTATCTCGGCCATGCAGTTGAGAAAGAAATGCTGTTACATGAAAGGCATTATGGAGAGAAGATGAAGGAGGGGGCTAGTTCTTTTTGAAAATGGGAGGCATGTTACTTGGTCTTTTCATTGCTTCATTAGCAAATGTTTTGCTCCTTTGTTCTGACTTAAACTGAAAGGTAATTTTCTGCAGAATTCTTGATGGGCATGTTACTCCTATGGCTCCCATCCATACACCTGTTACAGGCCAGAGGAGGCTCCTTCTCTCCTCTTGAGTTGCCTCTCCTTCAGGAAGAGCTATGTGCTCAAAACACACATGCAAGAGTAAAATGTGTGAGTTTTCCATGATTTTTAGAATCTTTTAATAAAACTTTTCTAAATAAACTTCTTAAAAACAAAAAGAGTGACCTCTTCCCATTCTCTCCCCCTTGCTCAGTCATTCTGAAATCAGCAGACCATACACAAAGATGTTCAGAAAGGATTCCAGCTGGTCTGTAAGTGAACGCACATGTCCCTGAATGTGGACCAGAAGAATTCCTGATGTTTAAATTTCTAGAATATTCCAGTTCACATTTTAAATGATATTTGAGTTTCTACTTCATAAAGTAATGCTGGGATGCTTATTTTAGACAATGCTTTAAGCTTTTTATTTATTCTCTAAGAAAGTAATCTTCCTGTTACCAGTTTCCAAGAGACATCAGGAAGTAGGAAAATATAGGACCAGAGAGCAGTACAAAGTGTTAAATTATCAGATTTTATGTATATTATATAAACAGCTATAAAAATTAAGCTAGATGTTGGAGTGTTCTGTATAGTTAGTATACTTTTAAAATAACCGAGGCTAAAATGGTCACTTTGGAGGTAGGGCAAGGGTATATTCACAGCCAAATAAGCCTGTCTGATTAAAGAGAACCAGACTTTGGTTTTTGAAAATTAAATTGATGTTGCTGTTCCACCAGAAACACAATGATTGGAAACTGGTGCATGCTCGTCTCTAGAAATGAATCCTGTTTTGAAACTGGGTTTTGTTGTTTTTGAAATTTCCACCTAAAATCATTTTTGGTTGAGAATGAGAATCTCTATTATAATGAAATTGTGTGTAAAATATAGTAAGAACTGGAGCCTTGTAGCAAGTTCCTTCTTAATTTATCTGTTATGTTTTAGCACTGTTCACATTTTAGTTTTTCTTTATCAACTGTGTATGTACTTTAATGCCAGTATAGGGAACTCTGATTCTTTTTTTTCCTTCTGAAGGGTCTCAGTGATTATACCTCAGGTATTTCTGAGTATCCTATTATCTACTAGGAGGGATACCTTCCCTGTGAACTCAGAATTAAAATTTCTTCTGAATTATGATGATCCCAAATCTTATGTACATAGCCTTAGGCATGGGTCTTGGAAAAAAGTTAATGACTATTGTTAAAGTAGTTTTTTAAAAAATTTTGTACTATATGTCCTTGATTTGACCTGAATGAACAGACTTTGGCAAAGGGAGGAAATAAGTTAAAGGCAGCTCACAACAAGAGCCTGTTCTCTATAAAAGGTGTATTTTATACAGTATTGAAAGCCTGTTATTTTTTCTGACCATTCTGGTACACAATTAGTACTTGTTGGTAATAACATTGACTTTTGACACCTGGAACTAGAACTCTTAGTGTTTAGTAGCCCACTCCTTTGATGTCGGATGCCTGCAAGCCTGTACTCCAAGTACAACACAGCAACATCTACACTGAGTGGTTGCATAGCCAGCACAGCTACCTGGGAGTGGCATGGTGCCCTCTGGGGCTGCCAGGGAGATACTGTAGTTTGATATCTGGGGCTTGACTTTGTCAAAGAGCTCTTTGTGCACCTACCTTTGCTTTGTCAAATGTTAATCAGATAATAAACATGAGTATCTTCTTAAATTTTCATTTGTCTTTCTGTGTTTTTGTCCCATTTCTTTTCACAGGTAATCCTGCATTAAGTCTTTCCTTTCCATTATGTTGTTTTTGGTACAGAAAACAACTCTATTTGTCAAAACAGCAGAAAAAACAAAACAACAGTAGTCATGGGTAGTAAACATCTTATTCTATTTTCTTAGATTTTAAAAAATAGAATAGCCATATTGTTTCCTCAGCAAAGTATCAGCAACAAAAAAATAAAATCTAAAGTCAATGCAGATCTTTAATTTGAAAAGACTCAGGAAGTATGAAGCAATTCATTACTTATAGTCCACAATTTACTATTGATACTCTTAGCTATTACGAAACTGTTTCCAAGAAATTAAATTTGAGAATTATTGGATTCTAACAGAAAAGTTCTTTGATGTTCTCTTTTCTCTCTCACAATTTAATTGATGTATTAATTTAAACTCATCTAATATCCATTTAGAAATATGGAGATTGGTTCCAGGTAGCGGAATAGAAGGACATGCACTCGCTCTTGCAAGAGCACCGGAATTGCAACTAACTGCTGAATGATCATTGGCAGGAAGACACTGGAACTCACCAAAAAAGATACCCCACATCCAAAGACAAAGGAGAAGCTGCAATGAGACAGTAGTAAGGGCACAATCACAAATCAAATCCCATAAACGCTGGGTGGGTGACTCACAAACTGGAGAACAATTACACCACAGAAGTCCACCCACTGGTGTGACAGGACTGGGGGAAACAGAGACTCCACTCTTGGAGGGCACACACAAAGTAGTGTGTGCATGAGGACCCAGGGAGAAGGAGCAGTGACCCCATAGGAGACTGAACCAGACCTACCTGCTAGTGTTGGAAGGTCTCCTACAGAGGTGGGGGGTGGCTGTGACACCATGGGGTCAAGGACACTGGCAGCAGAAGTTCTGGGAAGTACTCCTTGGCATGAGCCCTCCCGGAGTCCACCATTAGCACCCCCAAAGAGCCTGTAGCCTCCAGTGCTGGGTTGCCTCAGGCCAAACAACCAACAGGGAGAGAACTCAGCCCCACCCATCAGCAGACAAATGGATTAAAGTTTTGCTGAGCTCTGCCCACCAGAGCAACACCCAGCTCTACCTACCACCAGTCCCTCTCATCAGGAAACTTGCACAAGCCTCTTAGATAGCCTCATCCACCAGAAGGCAGACAGCAGAAGCAAGAACTACAATCCTGCAGCCTGTGAAACAAAAACCACATTCACAGAAAGACAAAATGCAAAGGCAGAGGACTATGTACCAGATGAAGGAACAAGATAAAACCCCAGAAAAACAATTAAATGAAGTGGAGATAGGCAAGCTTCCAGAAAAAGAATTCAGAATATTGATAGTGAAGATGATCCAGGACCTCAGAAAAAGAATGGAGGCAAAGATCAAGAAGATGCAAGAAACGTTTAGCAAAGACCTAGAAGAATTAAAGAACAAGAAAACAGAGATGAACAATACAATAACTGAAGTGAAAAATACACTAGAAGGAATCAATAGCAGAATAACTGAGGCAGAAGAACGGATAAGTGACCTGGAAGACAGAATGGTGGAATTCACTGCCACGGAAGAGAATAAAAAAAAAAGAATGAAAATAAATGAAGACAGCCTAAGAGACCTCTGGGACAATATTAAACACACCAACATTTGCAATTAAACAAAATTGATAAACCTTTAGCCAGACTCATCATGAAAAAGAGGGAGAGGACTCAAATCAATAAAATTAGAAATGAAAAAGGAGACAATACAATGGACACCACAGAAATACAAAGAGACTACTACAAGCAACTCTATGCCAATAAAATGGACAACATGAAAGAAATGGACAAATTCTTAGAAAGGTATAACCTTCCAAGACTGAACCAGGAAGAAATAGAAAATATGAACAGAACAATCACAAATAATGAAATTGAAACTGTGATTAAATATCTTCCAACAAACAAAAGTCCAGGACCAGATGGCTTCACCGGTGAATTCTATCAAACATTTAGAGAAGAGCTAACACCCATCCTTCTCAAACTCTTCCAAAAAATTGCAGAGGAAGGAACACTCCCAAACTCATTCCATGAGGCCGCCATCATCCTAATACCAAAACCAGACATAGCTATCACAAAAAAAGAAAATTACAGCCCGATATCACTGATGAATGTAGTTGCAAAAATCCTCAACAAAATACTAGCAAACAGAATCCAACAACACATTAAAAGGATCATACACCATGATCAAATGGGATTTATCCCAGGGATGCAAAGATTCTTCAATATATGCAAATCAATCAGTGATACACCATATTAACAAATTGAAGAATAAAAATCATATGATCATCGCAATAGATGCAGAAAAAGCTTTTGACAAAATTCAACACCCATTTATGATAAAAACTCTCCAGAAGGTGGACATAGAGGGAACCTACCTCAACATAATAAAGGTCATATATGACAAACCAACAGGAAACATCATTCTCAATGGTGAAAAACTGAAAGCATTTCCTCTAAGATCAGGAACAAGACAAGGATGTCCACTCTCACCACTATTATTCAACATAGTTTTGGGAGTCCTAGCCATGGCAATCAGAGAAGAAAAAGAAATGAAAGGAATACAAATTGGAAAAAGAAGAAGTAAAGCTGTCACTGTTTGCAGGTGACATGATACCATACATAGAGAATCCTAAAGATGCCACCAGAAAACTACTAGAGCTAATCAATGAATCTGGTAAAGTTGCAGGATACAAAATTAATGCCCAGAAATCACTTGCATTCCTATACACTAACAACAAAAGATCAGAAAGAGAAAATAAGGAAACAATCCCATTCACCCTTGCAACAAAAAGAATAAAATACCTAGGAATAAACCTACCTAAGGAGGTAAAAGACCGGTACTCAGAAAACTATGAGACACTGATGAAAGAAATCAAAGATGACACAAACAGATGGAGAGATATACCATGTTCTTGGATTGGAAGAATCAATATTGTGAAAATGACTTTACTACCCAAAGCAATCTACAGATTCAATGCAATCCCTATCAAATTGCCAATGACATTTTTTACAGAACTAGAACAAAAAATCTTAAAATTTGTATGGAGACACAAAAGACCCTGAATAGCCAAAGCAATCTTGAGGGAAAAAAAATGAAGCTGGAGGAATCAGACTCCCTGACTTCAGACTATACTACAAAGCTACAGTAATCAAGACACTATGGTACTGGCACAAAAACAGAAATATAGATCAATGGAGCAAGATAGAAAGCCCAGAGCTAAACCCATGCACCTATGGTCAACTAATCTATAACAAAGGAGGCAAGGATACACAATGGAGAAAAGACAGCCTCTTCAATAAGTGGTGCTGGGAAAACTGGACAGCTACATGTAAAAGAATGAAATTAGAACACTCCCTCTCACCATACACAAAAATAAACTCAAAGTGGATTAAAGACCTAAATGTAAGACTGACACTATAAAACTCTTAGAGGAAAACATAGGAAGAACACTCTTTGACATAAATCACAGCAAGATCTTTTTTGATCCACCTCCTAGAGTAATGGAAATAAAACCAAAAATAAACAAATGGGACCTAATGAAACTTAAAAGCTTTTGCACAGCAAAGGAAACTATAAACAAGATGAAAAGACAACCCTCAGAATGGGAGAAATTCTGCAAATTCTGCAATTTGTATTCCTTTCATTTCTTTTTCTTCTCTGTTGCAAATGAATCAACAGACAAAGGATTAATCTCCAAAATATATAAACAGCTCAAGCAGCTCAATATTAGAAAAACAACCCAATCAAAAAATGGGCAGAAGACCTAAATAGACATTTCTCCAAAGAAGACATGCAGATGGTCAACAGGCATATGAAAAGCTGCTCAACATCACTAATTATTAGAGAAATGCAAATCAAAACTACAATGAGGTATCACCTCACACCAGTCAGAATGGCCATCATCAGAAAATCTACAAACAACAAATGCTGGAGAGGGTGTAGAGAAAAGGGAACCCTCTTGCACTGTTGGTGGGAATGTAAATTGATACAGCCACTATGGAGAACAGTATGGAGGGTCCTTAAAAAACTAAAAATAGAATTACCATATGACCCAGCAATCCCACTACTGGGCATATACCCAGAGAAAACCATAATTCAAAAAGAGTCGTGTACCAAAATGTTCATTGCAGCTCTATTTACAATAGCCAGGACATGGAAGCAACCTAAATGCCCATCAACAGTTGAATGGATAAAGAAGATGTGGTACATATATGCAATGGAATATTGCTCAGCCATAAAAAGGAATGAAATTGGGTCATTTTAGAGACATGGATGGACTTAGAGACTGTCACAGAGTGAAGTAAGTCAGAAAGAGAAAAATATCGTATATTAACACATATATGTGGAATCTAGAAAAATGGTACAGATGGACCAGTTTGCAAGGCATAAATAGAGACACAGATGTAGAGAACAAACGTATGAACACCAAGGGGGGATGTGGGGGGGGCAGGAGGGATGAACTGGAAGAGTGGGATTGACATGTATACACTAATATGTATAAAATAGATAACTAATAAGAACCTGCTGTATTAAAGTTAAAAAAAAGAAATATGAACATTTTGTGAGAAATGAGTAAAGTATGAGTCTCTACTTCTTTGATAATTCAGTGATATTCCCAGCATCTTTGTGTTTTCTTTCACAAATGATTATCAATGGATGTGTTTTAAGTTCAAATACCTGATGAGGCTGAAGATTTGAGGCTTTCAGCATCCTGTTGACTTTCATCTCTGTTTTTATTATATGTTTGAGTTATGCTAGTATTGGTTTTTCTTTTTTTCATTAGTTTTTATGAAATAGGGCTAAAATGCCATAAAATTTTCAAGTGAACAATTGTCGTGCAGGTATGGCGAAGATGCCAAAACACAACTGTTGGCTGACAGGCAGGAAGTGCTTTATTCTTTAACATAAGAAAGTATGAGTGAAGCACACCAAAGGTGAGGTGAGA